TGAATTCTCTCACCCTCCTGCACCTCTGGTCTGTACCCAAGCTCTTGGATAAATAAAATAAATCTTTTTTAAGAAAGAAATCTATTCAATTGCAAATACTAGGTATATCTTATAGAAAAGGAAAGGTCGCTTAGAAGCCAGAACCAAGGTGCTGGAGCTGACAGCACTGGAGAAAAACTCATAGAGACTAGGGCTGAGTCCTAAGCAGAAACATGGTAATAAGATCGAACTTCAGAATTCTATGGATCTGTATTTGTCTTATGTCTCCCATCTTCTTCTCTGAATTCAAGTACAGTGGTCCTCACTTGTCTATGATCCCCAGTGATGCCTAAACCACAGATAGTTATGAATTCTGAGTCTTATGAAAACTATCTTTTTCCTGTTCGTACCTACCTGTGATAAAATTTAATTTATAAATTAGCCACAGTAAGAGATTAAAAAATATTAATAACAAAGTCACTGTAATAAAAATTACATAAATGTGGCTTCTTTCTCAAAATATTTTATTGTACTTCATACAAGAATTCACCTGAGAACTAAGAGAATGTGTTGAGAGATGTCAACAAAATGGTGATAGAGGAACCTCCTTCATTGGCTCCCAAGAGCAACATGTAACAGTTGATGACTAAAGGGAGACTGCAGTGAGTTCTGTGGCTGATGGCAAGACTGAAGTACCCCTTGCATCTCAGTGACAATCAGACTGTACCAGAGGGGACAGAGAAGAGATTCATGCTTCACTGGACAAGAGGTGAGTAGGGAGAAATGTCTGGAGACACTGACACACAGACAGGAGGATGGCTGACTTAGGCAGGGGGCTGGTGAAGAGACACAGAAACAGTGTGGAAACACACAGTCTTGATCAAGGAGAAGCCACACAGACTGGGACCCTAACAAGGAAGACAACAGAAGAAGTGCTATAGGCCACACTCCATCTCCCCAACCCCTCAAGACTGGTACTGACCACATTAAATACACAGAAGTGACAGACTACCCAGTCTCAGGTCAGAGATCCCAGAGAAGAGGGGCATCGGTGATATTACAAACACAAAATAGTCTAGCCCCAGCACTTTCTCAAAAGTGACTGGATGAGTCCATGCTCCTCCCCTCTGCTGCCACATCAAATAAAATATGTTTGCCAAAACTAGACCACCCCTACAAGAAATACTGAAAGTGCCTCTCTTCTCTAAAAGAGAAGAAATCCACAAAAAAAAAAAAAAACAAAAAACAAAACCATGGACAAGAAATTAGGAAGAAACAAAACTAAAGATAACATAATGACAACAAATCCTGATAAATCAATAATCAACTGAAACATTAATGAACTGAAATCATCAATCAAAAGGTACAGAGTGGCCTGTTGGATCAGAAAAAAAAATTCCAACTTTCTGTTTATTCCAGGAGACTCATCTGATCTCCAAAAACAAGCACAGATTAAAACTAAAAGGTTGGAAAACAACCCTACATGAAAATGGGACACAGAAGTGGCAGGGGCAGCCATACTGATATCAAATAAAATGGATTTCCAGCTGAAAGGGGGAATAAGAGACAGAGATGAATACTATATAATTAAGGGAAAATAAATCAGAAAGCTATAACATCAATTTGTTATGTATACATAACAAATTGTATACACAGGTATACATCAAACAAACAAGCACAAAAAATATAAAAGGCAATTACCACTGAATCTGAAAATATACATTGGAAATAATACAACAGCGGCCAGAGACTTCAACATCCCACTTTCACCAATGGGCAGATCAACCAAACATAAAATAAACAAGGAAACAATGGCTTTAAACAAAGAATGAGGCAATGTGGGCTTCGGCATTGCACCCCCTAAAAGCTCAACACACATTCTTCTCAAGACCACATGCTGGTGCACAAAACAAGTGTCGATAAATTCATGAAGACTGGAATCACATCAAGTGATTTTAATGGTATCAACATAGAAACCAACCACAAAACTAAAGCAGTAAAAGCCACTAATATATGGAGATTGAACAGCATACTGCTGAATGATCACTGGATAAAGGAGAAAATGAAAGAAGAAATATTAAAATACCTGGAGATGAACCAAAATGAAAACATGATCTCCCAGGACCTGTGGAACTTTAGCAGTACTAAGAGGGAAACTATGCATCAAAACAGGCCCTAATCAAGAAACACAAAAGAACTCGAACAACCTCTGTCACCTGAAGGCACTAGAAAAAGAACAAGCAAAACCAAAATCATAATGACAGAAAATCCCTTAGAAGCAAGGATGTAATAAAAATTGGGGCAGAAATAATTGAAATAAAAACAAAAAGAGAGGGCCTCCCTGGAGGTGCAGGTGGTTGAGCACCGCACTGTGAAGCTGTCTGCAGCTTCAATAGTGCGCGTTTGATCCTGGCCGGCCATGGAGAAACCTACATGGCACGGCAGACCTCTCCTGCCTCTCCCGTTGCTCTCTCAGCAGTGTACTTCAGTCAGTCTGCCTGTTCTGCTCCCCACCTTGTCTGTGGTGAATCCTCTCACCCTCCCGCACCTCTGACCTATACCCCAGTTCTTGTAAATAAATAAATCTTTAAAATTAATTAATTAATTAATTAAATACAAAAAGAGAGTCCAAAGGATCAATGACACAAAAGGTAGTTATTTGAGGGCCTCCCTGATGGCACAAGGGGTTAAGCACCGCACTATGAAGCAATCCGCAGCCTCTGCAACATGAGTTCAATCCCTGGCCAGCCAGGAGCAACCCACATGGCACAGCAGACCTTTCCTATCTCATCCGCTGCTCCCCTCAGCAGTGTATTTCAGTCCATCTGCCTGTTCTGTTCCCCACTCTTTCTCTCGTGAATCCTCTCACCCCCCCCCCCATCTCTGGCATATACTCCAGCTCTTGTATGCATAAATAAAGAAATCTTAAAAGAAAAAAAAAAAGGTAGTTATTTGAAAAAACTACCCAGACAAACTTCTAGCTAAACTCACTAAGGGAAAAAGAGGGAAAGAATCTCATAAATAGAATCAGAAATAAAAGAGAAGTTAAATAGACATTTCAGAAATATAGGGAGCCATAAGAAACTATGAACATCTAGATGCCAGTAAACTGAATAACTAGATGAAATGGACTAATTCTTAGAAATCACAACCCTCTGAGACTGAATCAGGAAGAAATAGGAAAACTGGCACACCAATCACAAACAAGAAAATTGAAACAGTATTTAAGTCTTCCAAAAATATATGGGTCCATATATTTTCACTAATGATTTAACCAAACCTTCATAGACAAACTAATAGATAATCTCAGAATCTTCAAAAAAATTGAGAGAGGGAATGCTTTCTTGTGTGTGTTTATATATACATATAGACCCTTCATAAAAATAAATATATCATACATCCTTAATTCATAAAAGTGTTAAAATTCATAAATATAGGTGAGTTTCTGATAAAGCACTCATTTTGTTGAGGATAAACTCCTCACCTTATGCATGAATGTTTGGTCAACATTTTTACTTTATGACTTAAAAGAAAAGAAAGTTACTGGATTTATTTAATGACACAATTATAAATATAGACACAAATGATATATAAGATTCAGTATTAAATTGCTATTAATACAACTTTAGTTCTAAAGGGAGATAGTAACAGTAGCTCTCATCTATGCAACATTTACTATTATATAGATATCAGGGAGAGGCTCTCCAGATATCTAATTTTAGGGGCCCTTAAAGAGGCCTCTATAGTAGGTGTTACTTTACTATGTCTTTTTCAACATGTGAGAAAGCTAATACTAAAAGAAGTTAAAGTCATTTTCCCAAGATCACCCAGTCAGGAAATAGTGGAATTGGAATTACATGATGGTTCACTTTCATTTCTTCGTCTTTATGAAGCTGAAAGGAAGTTCCCCTCTCCAAAATCACATGTGGAGATTACATATTGATACAGCCAAACACAGGCAAAATAAACCTGTAGTATTTTGTTTTTTATTTATATATATATGTAGGTCTTTCTTGAAATACAACTATTGATCTCCTTTGAGAATAACATTGTTATTATAACTGTACAGTTCTAATATCCACCCAATCCACAAATTTCCTACATTTATAGGTGGGTAACTTTAAAATATATACATGAAAAAACATACAGTGCATAGAAACTAAATGCAAATAAAAATCTTTTAAAAATCTTAGAAATTCATTAAGCAGGTATGTCAATCCTATTAAAAAATGGTTATTCTATATACAATACATAATCTTTAAAAATACAACTCCAGAAAACAAAAATTCTTTGGTTCAGCAAAAGATTCTAAATGTGGAAATGCAATTTGTTAAGGATGCACTTTCTTGGGCTGGACCTCACTTTTCTGGTTTAATGCCTCAGAAAGCATATAGCTGTCTTTTTCGGCAAGCTGAAAACATGGGCAAGACTGTGGGTAGAGAGTGACATTCCCATAGAACATTAGCATATGAAAATATAACCAAAAGCTTAAATAATGCATAAATTTAGATGTGTGCTTCTTTCCATTGCAAAATCAAAAGGCTGCACAGAAAGTCTGCTTCTCATCCATTTGGAAATGGACGGTAGGGGATGACCATGGTTGACACATAAACATTCACTTAAAGTTGTTGGGAACTGGCATCCAGTGCTATTGAAACTACTCTCTTCATTATCTGGACTGCAAGGAAGTGACAGGAGGAGGCAGATGCTACATATCCTAAAGCCTCATCCCTTCTCCAGTGCCTTAACAATCTAAAGAATTTTAACAATCTAAAATTATAAACACATCCACGACTCAAATGTCTTTAAAAAGAGTTGTTAATGCAGCAGTTATGATGGTACATCAACATTTGACAATGGGATTTTCATTAAAAATTAACGGTGGTTATTCTGTACTCTTGATTTATTAATAGCAACAATCATGGAATTGGCTAAAACATCTCAGAGTTTCAGGGTCAGCAACCTTACCTATTAGAATTGATTCTCCTCCATATTTAATGGGAAAGAAAAACATCCACAATTATTAATGTTGCATATTTCCACTTTGTGAAAACACATTGTATACAAGATAAAATCATTCCAAAGGCCCTATCACTGAACCACACTTTAGAATACCTTCAATGAGGCTTTTAAAAGGACTCTAAGGTATGAGAGCTGGGCAGAGGAGAATGAAAAATATCTTTTGCTCTATTAATTTTTTCTAAGTTCCCTAATAGAATATAATTTCCTGGTTGGATTAATTAACTCATATAATTTAAGAAGTGGTATCACTAATACTCAAACTTACTTTTCCCTAGACTGGTTAGAAGCATATTGATATATTTCTAAGATGAAGGCAGATGAAAGTCAAGAGTTCCTATTGACTACCAAGATGTCTGCAAAAACACCACTTTAAGATACCATAATGCTTACGTGGAGTTAACAGCAGGGTCACTCTTTGTTCTTTCTTCTATTTGCATGACTTTGTCACTAGGATTCAAAGGAGGTGGACATGAGAGGTATGGAGCAAAAGATTGCAGAGAAAACAAAATGTCCCTTCAACAAAAATGGTTCTGACTGTGGAGTGACTAGGATAACCTTCAATATTTAAGCAAACAAAGAATGGAATACATGAATAATTCACAGACTCTAAGTGAGATGCCATAATTCAGAACCTTCTCCATATCCACTACTGTCTACCCCCACCTCATGGGTAGGGATTATTTTTCTCTGATGTTATTCCAAAAAGACAGTATAACAATCCAAAGAGAGAAATAATAAGTGTTGGATTATAGGTCCTCATAGTCCTCTTCTGTAGTATCGAGGCAGTAAAAACATCTTCTCTTCAGTCAGAAGTCTTTATCCCAGCCTGAAAGCTCATCGGGAGGCACCCCTTTTTCAGGGGGATACTTGTCAAAGTAGCTGTGATCTGTGGGTCCATTGAGCTAATAGAGAAAGGATAAAACCAAAGGTGAGTATTTGCATCTGAGTAATGCCTTCTACATCTGAATGCTGAATTTATACTGGAACCACTTGAAAGTCACATATAAGAAGATGATGACCAAAATTATCAGAGTCACAGCTGTGTAACATGGTGATGGAGCATTTGAAATGTGACTTGTTTGAACTGAGATGTACTTTACTGACTTGGAATTTCTAAAAGAATAGAGAAAAAATGGAACATCTCATTACTATTTTATGTTGACAGAGAAGCGATGATATTTGGATATAGTATGACAAGCAAAATTAATTTTAACCTGTTTTTCACTTTTTTAAATGTGGCAACTAGAAAATTTTAAATTTGAATCATATATGATTCATATTATAATTCTAGAGCTATTTGTCAGCTTGACTAACATTAACTTTTGGGGACTTTGATTGGTTCCTGAGAGTTGAGCTAATTCCCATCAAATAGGTAATATTATTTAGTCCCAATACTCATAATTGCTGTGATGTTTTAACTTAATCTTTGAAAACTACTCAAAAATTGAAATCTGTTGAATACACTTACCTCTAAAATTGGTATACCAAAACAAGTATCTGCAAAAAAATCAAGACAATACTATAGCAGATGCCATACCTCTCTTTGTAAAGGTGATGGAAGGTTTCGTGCTTTCAACCCCTCCCAGTTAAAAGCATTTAACCACCTAAGAAATGAGAAAAGTACAGTGGAATATTACTTGTTTGATAAACAATTCACATGTCAAGGCATCTGTCAATCCGTGGTGTTGCCTGCTCCCTGCCTACAACAGCATAGTCACAAGTGGCCCAAGGAAACGCTCACCATGCCAGCTGTCTATTTCACAGCACATCCTGCCCAGCAATCATTCCAGACTTCCTTGGGACTCCTCTCATTGCCACACATTAGACTCCTGATTCACATTTTGTTCTCTCTCCTTAAACTTCCAGAACTTTCTCCCCATCCTCACCCTCAAATGATGATCTGGCTTCTTAATGCACTGAGAAAAATGAAGCAATAGAAAGAGACAAAGACACAGAGACACAGAGAGAGCATTTCCACAAACTTCAATTGTCCTATCTACCTGCCTACTCACATCTTTGTGTTCCCTTCTCTCCTGTACTGTGAATTGACTGCCTTTATGTCTAGCTATGGCCACTGTGTATTTGATTCTGTGTATTTGATTTCTATTTTCAAAGACTTGTTCCTTCAAATTTCCCTTCTCCTGATTCATCAACCTCTTTGTTGCTGATCATTTCCATCAGTATAGAAACATTTTACTTCTTCAAACAACAGGATACCCAGCTTTGACCTGATCTGCCTGCCAATTCTCACTGTTTCTCTCCTCCAATTGGAAAACAAATCCTTGAAAGCATTATCTAATCACCATATCTATCCATTTTCTCCTGATCACCTCAATTTTCAGTTGTTTTTTTTTTTAAATCTAGAAACATTTGCTCATCACTCACCCTTTCTTCACTTGGCTTTCTGGACACATTATTATCCTGACTTTTTTCCTATTTTTCTCCACTACTATTTCTATATAGGTAGGTGTGTTCCAAGGCTCAGTTCTCAGACCTCTTATTTTATCTACTACTTTCACTTCCTGAGTAATCTCATTCATTTTTGTGACTTATAATAGCATTTATATGTCGATTACTCTAAAATTTCTATTTCTAGCCAAGACTTTCCATTCCTTTATGGCAATATCTGCAACTGCTAGGCATCATCTCCCAACTGTATATCTAGCGCATTATCAGGTCCAAATTGGAGCTCCAAATTTCCCAAAAAACTTGCCTTGATTCTGCAGTTGCTCAAACCATTATACCTTCTCTCACTAACACTTTGCTGAGTTCAGAAGTAAACTTTGTCAGTATTAACTTCAAAATATGTACGTATGCCAAATCTGACAAATTCTCAACACATTCATCCTACCAACATGAGTGGAGTCACTGTTATCCCTGGCCTGTATTATTATCGTAACTAGCTAAGCTAAATAGCCCTTCTTTTTGTCTGTGGCAAACAAATGAGCAGCAGAAGAGGTCATTTAAAAATGAAATTGGGGGCCTCCCCTGTTGGCACAGGCAGTTGAGCACTGCGCTGTGAAGCTGTCCGCAGCTTCTGCAGTGCCAGTTCGATCCCACATGGCATGGTAGACCTCTCCTGTCATGCCCGCTGTTCCCCTCAGCAGTGTATTTCGTCAGTCTGCCTGTTCTGTTCCCCACTCTGTCTCTGGTGAATTCTCTCACCCTCCCGCACATCTGGCCTGTACCCTGGTTCTTGTATAAATAAATAAATAAATCTAAAAAATAAAAAATAAAAATAAATAATAAATTTTAAAAAAATGAAATCAGGTCACATCATGCTTTGTACAAAACTGCCCAAAGCTTCCCATTGCACACCGTGTAAAAATCAGTCTTTACCATATCTTTACAATAACCTAGAACTATACAAAATCACCTTTTCCAATGCCCTTCAACCATCATTTACTGCTGCTTTTCTCCTTCCCCCTCTCTTGTTCATGAACCTCCTCACCATTATGCCAACAAGCAAGGGGTGCTCCTACCTTTTTACTCAGAGCTTCTGGCTAGATTGTTCTTTTCCCAGACTTCTCCATCATTTGTTCCCTGAACAACTTTGGGTCTTTTTCCAAAGTCAAATTCATTTTTTTTTTCCTTATACTTTATTGACCTGCCAATCATTTACATAACTGTATAAATCTGGGGAGTACAACTTCATACCTCCATATGCACATATGCTTCACTCACCCTCCACCAAAAGTCTAATGCAAATATCCTATTGACTTCCCTCACCTTTCCCCTCCTGTCTTCCCACAGCCCCTCACCTCTCCCTTCCTGTCTTCCCACAGCCCCTTCTTCCAATCCCCTTTAGTAAATAGGGTATTTTCCAGAGTCTAAGAATTATTTTTGTTGCATTTTGCCAGTAGATTTTCTTTGGCTACTTATATTCCACAAATGAGCAAAACCAAATGATAGCTGTCTTTCATTTTTCTGACTTATTTCACTTAGCATACTCACCTTCATCCATTTTGTCCCAAAAGGCACCATTTTATCTTTTTAACAGGTGAGTACTATTCCATTGAGTATATATCCCACAATTTGTTTATCTGGTCATCTGCTGATGGGCATTTAGGTAGGTCCCACAATTTGCTATTGTGAATAGTGTTATTATGAACATATGAGTGCATAAATACACATCTTTGCACATTAGTTTTCATATTCTTTGGGTAAATACTTAGAAGTGATATTGCTGGTAGCATAGGGTATTTCCATTTTTGTTTGAGGACTCTAAATAGCATTTTTCTATAGATTCTGCATCAAATTACATTTCTACCAATAGTGGATGAGTGTTCCTTTTCTCTATATCCTCACCGACATTTGTGGGTTACCATCTTTTTGATATTAGTCATTTACACAGACGTGAGGTGATGTCTCATTATGATTTTGATTTACATTTCCCTTCTAATAAGTGACAATGAACATTTATGCATATACCTGTAGACCATCAGGATGTCTTCTTTGGAGAAGTGTCTATATAGGTCTTTTGCCCAGTTTTTGATTGTGCTGCTATTTTTGTTGTTGTTTTGAGTTGTATGAGATATTTGTATACATGAAAATGTGTACAACTGCTTGTTGGACATGGGATGTGCAAATATCTTCTATAGGTTGCCTAGGGTGGTATCTGAAGAAGGGATATTTGAATTAGAGCTAAAATGAACAGAAAGGGGAAGCCAGAGGAAGATCTGTAGCACAGGTCTTCTAAATGGAAGGAAATGATAAAAACAAGTTGACACATGGTCAATGTGGGGAAAAAATGATGTCTGAGAAATGACCAGATGCCAGGTCATGTAGGGCCTTGTGGAATTCAATAAGAAACCCAGTAGGAAGCCATTAGAAAGTTCTAAATAAATCCTGCAACCTACGTTATGTTTTCAAGAACAATTCTTGCTGTTATATAGAGAATAACCATGGCAGGTTGGAATGGGATGGGGTGGGGGTGGATACTGAGTTAAGGGAGCTATTAGGAGGCTGATTGTCCTGTCAGTTATACCAGAAGTTTTACTTTTTTACCTTCTCAATCACTCTCACTCTAGAGTTGATGTTGGTTCCACTAAGGACTGCATTTCCCATTCAAAGTCTATGCTTAGCAAGAAAAAAACATTTCTGGGCCTCCCCTGGTGGTGCAGGCAGTTGAGCACTGCACTGGGAAGCTGTCCGCAGCCTCTGCAGCACCGGTTCCATCCTGGTCGGCAGCGAGGGTCCCCACATGGCACAGCAGACCTCTCCTGTCACTCCTGCTGCTCCCCTCAGCAGCGTATTTTGTCAGTCTGCCTGTCCTGTTCCCCGCTCTGTCTCTGGTGAATCCTCTCACCCTCCCACACATCTGGCCTGTACCCCGGATCTTGTATAACTAAATAAATAAATCTTAAAAAAAAGAGAAAGAATGAAAAAGAAAAAAGAATAAAGAAAAAAAAAAAATTCCTGAAAACAGAGAGGAAAGGCTCCAGTAAAGCACCATTTTGGTCTTAGCTGCTAAGACTCTTGTCAATGAGTGAGAGTCAGCCAGCCATTCCAGTTGTTTGACCTTCCCTGTTCCCACTACAAAATAACTGAAGTCCTCTCCTTGACCCACCTATTATCTTTTATGCAGAGACTAAGGCTCCATTTTTAGAGATTTTGAAGTACACATTTCTGTGGTTTCTTTTCTTTAGTCACCAAATACATTTCATAATGCTCTCTACCAGCTGATACTACGTAAATATTAATAAAAACCATTACTGTTACGCTATTAAAGCAAACAGTCTATGCATTTCTTGCTGAGTAGTTGTTACAATTTGACTTATGACAATATTTACTTAGCATGAGTGGTTATTCACTTAACACTTGGCCTTTTGACACTAACCACATTTTAAGTAATGCAAAAGTGCCAGGATGCACTTTAGTGTGAAAAATATCACCAAAGAAATATTAGTGGCAATGGCACATAAATTGCTTCTTCATTTTTAGAAGATTTGTAGGAACTCTTGAAAGTAATTTTAGAGACTAGAAATATAAAAGGTAACATGAAGATACCTGAAGTAAATTATTCCACTATCTAGCAAGGAAGACTTAATTGTACCATAAAAATGTATTATCCCTCTTTCAGATAGGTACTCAGAGACATGATTGGTGCCTAATTTATAAGTTAGCTCATAAATAGGGAAGGAATGAACTCTATTTTTAGGAAAAAATGACAACATAGACTGAGTGAACATTTAACAATATGCCAAGCTTAATTACATTTAAATACAAAGTTAAACTGAATAGTTCTCTAAAAAAAAATATAATTTTTTTTTTACTTTAAAATAGAGGAGGGCAATCTGTCAAATTTTAGAAAGGATTTTTTTTTAAATTTCAAGAATAGAGTGGATAGGAAGCTATGTACCTTGAAGACTTGTAGAAGATCTTAGAATACCCCTATTGAAAGCAGAGAGATCTATTTCTCAGGGACTCTTCCCCCACTCCAGCTTTTTATCCAAAGAAGAACTATAAAGATAGGACGAAATCATGTTTTTGCATTCCCTAAACTCACCAGAAAAACACTTTATAAATTTGGTGCATCTTAGTAAATTCTACTCTCCACACTGCACTTTGTCTCCACAGTTGTGTGGAAAAGAACATTTTGTCTGTTAAGATGAGTGGGCAAATTAATCCCTACGGGGAAGGAGATTCAAAATTCTTCATTACTGCTGAGGTGAGAAAATCCTTTAGCATCAATTTGCATGTGCATCCAATCACAATTTGACAGCTACATTTAAATGAGCCTCAGGTAAATAAGAAATAAAAGATAAAATTGGAGGCTGTTAACAATTATATCACTTCTATTTCCCAACTACTCCCAAGCAATCCGTGAAGAAGCTTCTCTTAATGAAAGGAAGAAACTACATTGCAAGAATGACTTTAATCGATGAGACAGACATTCGTTTGTTCAATATGAATCATGTGTTTCTGTGTCATTTCATAATGAGAAAAGAACTTGTGAAAACAGCATGTAGGAAAAAGATAAATTGGAATCTCAGAAAAATATTGAGCTTAACACTGAAGGCAATCTGAAAGATACCAAAGTATAATAAAAGGGATAAGTATTTTGATCTTTATAAAAATCCACAGATGTGTTTGTCTCTTTTCTTCCCTCCCAGCCTCTATAATATACCCTAAAAGCAGAGCACAATATGAATTTGGGATTTTAAATACATGTCTTTATTCTAAGAATGTTCATGGAGGGCCTCCCTGGTGGCTCAAGGGGTTAAGATGCAGCCTGTGAAGCTGTCCGTAGCCTCTGCAGTATGAGTTTGATCCCCGGCTGGGGAGCTACCCACATGGCGCAGCAGACCTCTCCTGTCTCGCCCACTGCTCCCCTCAGCAGTGTATTTCAGTCAGTTTGCCTGTTCTGTTTCCCACTCTGTCTCTCATGAATCCTCTCACCCCCCGCATCTGTGGCCTGTACCCCAGCTCTTGTATGCATAAATAAATAAATCTTTTTAAAAAAATTGTTCATGGATAGACCAGGATTTGCAGCTTGGGAATTTTTTTTTTGGAAGTTGTACCACTACTGGTAAGAAAACACAGTAACATTTCTATTTAGTAGCATCTCTTCCTTTATTTTCACATTGTTTATTTGCCCATCATACATATTGATATTGTAATGATTCTGACTGACTCAGATGTTATATACATTGACAGAGTTAACGACCCCCGACTGATGGGAAGCTAGGGGCAATTGAGATGTGTCTTAAGTTATTAATTAAAAAGCAGCCACTCATTTATGAAGATAGTTATACACAGACATGCAAAAGTCAAGGACAGACAATAAGCATGGCTGTACCGAGAGGCCCCTCCAAATATTAAGTTGGTTCTGATAACATGTCTCTGAAAATTGATATAAATATAGGCACTGAAATTGAGGCAAATTGAGGTACTTATGGACTACATGCGCATAATCCTGAATTCTTATCCAACAATCAGTGAGAGCCACGGGGATCCTCATCCTAAGAAGTGGCAATTCCCCTCCCTGCAGATGGATGTCTATCAGGAGTACTTCAGTCCAGGTCCTGTCCACTTTATGTCCCTATCTCCAGAATTATCCCTAGAGGTCCTTCACCTTTCCCCTCCGGAGCTAACTGAATTATATACGTATCATAATATGGATACCCCAGATAAATTCATGCTGTGATTATATGCATTTGGCTTAAGGCATATATGAAACCTTCCTGCTTTGTAGAAGTTAACACTCCAGAGATTCTTTACCTGAGAAAACAGTTCCCCTAATTCTTTAGTAAAAATATTCAGAGAAGTATTTTCAATTCTGAAAGTGAACACATCAGTGTGTTCAAAGGTTTTTTATAATGGAATTTGCAAATGTATTTTTTGATACTATCAACAGGTTACATTTTATATCTCTGAAACTTAATTAAAATTAGTATCTTCAGGATAGCAGGATTTAGCTAGAAATACGGTTATTTTTTTAAATCTTGAAAGCTAAGCTTGAACTTTCACATATATAATCAAATTATAAAGGTTATCTTATGGATGTTATTGACACTTCTCAATGCTAGTTTTAGTTCATAGAAATGAAATGGTACATGTTAAGATTACTGCAATTGCATAAAACAGTGTTGGGAGTTTGTGTTAATCAGTGTACTTTACCCAAAAAGTGAAACAGAAAATGAAACTTCCAACTTTATTGAGCTAACCAAGGGAAAACTATATTTAAAATATAATCTTAATTAAAAATGAAATAGAATAAAATTTAACAGTAGATTTAGCTGATCCATTCTCTTGAATATTGACAATGACTATATTCTATTTTAATTACAAATAAAATGTCAAAATTAGATCTTTAATTCCCTTATGAATCCATGTTGACAAAATAATAATCATAACAACAATAGCAGTGGATAAAAGGCTAAGTTGCTATAACTTGAAGAAGTGATTTTGTGACTTATTTTATAACTTTGTCATTTTTATATGAATTTATAACATTTAAGAACTCACCTTCAAATTAATTAATGTAACTAATTAGTAAAACTAATTAGTAAAACACATATTAAAAATGAAACACTAGAAGTAAATGAACAAAAATGAAAATAAAATTTAAAATTTTTAAATAAAAAGAAAAAAAAGCAACAAAAAAGAAAAGGCCCATTGAATGAAACTTCAAGATTACCACATTTTTCTATAAATTTCTGTATTTTTCTGGGCAAGGAAATAACTACGTACCTGTGTTTCTTAATGTCATTGATTCCATTCTTCAGATTTCCCAACCTTTCTGTTGGATTTTGCCTAAAATAGTAAATATAAATTTATAAATAATTTATTTAAAAATTGTAATTTTGATTGAAAAAATTTTAAAATAGAATTTAATATTTCTTAATTCATTTATTCAACAAAATTCATAGACCAAACATCTGAGTATAGGGAAAATACATGTCCCTCTCTGGCAGAGCCAGTCAAATTGGAGTTAGGAATAGATATTACATATATGTATATATGTCCCACGTTTTAAATGAGTGATAAATAAATGCTTAAAATAACGTAATTACTAATTCCATGGAGAAAACCAGAGAAAGTTTTGTAAAACCATTCAAAAATTTCTGCAGGCAACCCAAGGCTAGGTAACACATCCTAAATACACTAAATTTTAAAGCTTTTTAAAAAGTCAAGTGTGCAAAATAAAAAAAGCCAGCAAGATGAGGCATAAACAAAAATTCTGTAAGTCTTCTGTTCTCCAGTAAATTATTTTTATTGGTAATTAGAAATGTGGAGTAATTTAAAATAAGGCCAGAGGAGTACTTTTTATAAAAAATGGAAATTAAAAGAAGACATATGTAACTTTTATCACCACTGATTTTCTCTCAAAATAACAGGATTATAATAACTCCATTTTGTAAGATAAAGTTTGTGGCTCTATTTTGTTCTACAAGAGACAAATTTCCAGAGATAACCTGGAAAATCTGCATCTCTTTTAAACAATAAGTAGGTACTATGTTTCGGTAGTATGAATCAGGAGTTTGAATAACTCAAACTCTGAGCCTAGACTGCAAAAGAGAAAGTGATTTTTAAATATAATTTAGTTCCACAGAACAGTATAAAAAATAAACAAACGCAATTTAAAATGGGTGGAAAGAGAAATTAGAAGCTTTCACACTTTCCCGAGAACAGGGGTATCTAATTATCACTCACTTGCAAAGCCTCCGAATCAAATCCTCAGGTCGTTTTGTTATTTTTCTGGGAAAATCCATTTTTTCAATTCCTTTGAGAATCAAATTGTAAGTCATCATTTGGTCGATCCCAGAAAAGGGTGGACTAGAGAAAAACCAAAACAGAACAGAAAGACCATGATGGGACACATTCATGACAGTCATTTTATCTTTCCCCCTCCTGCCATCCTCTCTCATTAGTTTTTTCATAACAAATTTAGATATGTGCTAGAAAATCATCTCATTAATTTCCTATCACCTAAGAAATTGTACACATACACATACAGGTAATGTTAGGTGGTTAGAATTACAAGAAGGAAAAATAAATGAGGAAGACAGGAGAAGAGGGGAGGAGGTGAGGAGAAGAGAGAGTTGATTATTTTATTTTATTTATTTTTTAAAGATTTATTTATTTATGCATACAAGAACTGGGGTGCAGGCCAGAGGTGTGGGGGGTGAGAGGATCCACCAGAGAGAGAGGGGAACAGAACAGGTGGATTGACTGAAATACACTGTTGAGGGGAGCAGTGGGTGAGTCATGTGGAGAGGTCTGCTGCGACATGTGGGTATCTCCCTGGCTGCGGATCAAACTAGTGGGTGTGGACATCTCACACTAGGTAGCTTAACCCCTTGCACCACCAGGTAGGCCCAAGGTGATTATTTTAGACAGAATGGATAGGAAAAGCCTCTCTCAGGAGCTGTTAATTGAGCAGCGGCATAAATGAAGGAGTGAATGAGCCACACTGTTATCTACGGTCAGAGGAGCACAAGACAGCAAGTCCAAATATCATGAGCCAGGAGTGGGCATGGTTAATCTTGGAACAGTAAGGAGGGCAGCACACTTAGTGGAAGAATTAGCAGGAAGGGGCAGGTAGGAATGAGGGCAACAGTCACTTTGCTCTGGTAGGCTCTGCTAGGGACACAGGGATATATTCTGAGTCGGATGATCTAATTGACAGCAGCAAGAGTAAACTTTATTTTACTGTGTGGACAATAGGATGGTGCCAGTGGTGGGGAATGAAGACATTTACAGCTGTAGTGAAGGTGGTGATATGTGGTAGGATTCTGAATCTGTTCAGATAGTAAAGTCAACAGGATTTGTCAATCATGTGAATATGGTATGTGGGAGAAACCAAGGATGCTTAAGTCTTTGACTTAGAGCATGTAGCTACTACTAACTAAGAGAAGAAAGACTGGAGCAGGGTTTCAGGCTGGGGAGCAGAGGTACAGCAAAGGTTATGGAGAAGGGAATCAAAAATATGTTTGGAATATCCAGGTAGAGTTGGTAAGGAGACCCTTGAACATGAGACTGAGGCCTTTGAGAAGGTGATTAATGCTGAAAGTATGATTCTGAGGGATCACCAGACTGGATTTATGGCCACAGAACTTGATGAGATGACCCAGGAAGAGACAGAAATGAAATCAAGGACTGAAATGGTCCAAAGTTTGAAAGTTCAGGGTGAAGATCCAGTAATGGAAAATGAAAAGGAGTCCCAAGTGTGAAAAAAGAAATGAAAGAGAAGTCATTGAAGTCAAAGAAAATGAGATAGGAAGCTGGAAACACTGCTTATATTTTCAACTCATTTATAATTTACAATTGTGCTGTGAGTTGTTTTGGCTTTGTTTTTTGGTTCTTTTCATTTTCATTTATTTCCTTTCTCTTTAGAGTTTAGGGATTAAAAATTATTTTTTCTCCTGTTATACTTTGAAAATCTTCAAAAACAATTTACCACCTTCTTTATGGCAGTTCAAGAACATCTTAATGTTTCCAAGTTATAAGGTCACCCTCCCACCTCATTCCTTAATCCTTCAATTTATTTCCTGAATCCTGTAATAATTATTCCAGCTGATGAAGAATGAGATATATTCTCCATTGATCTACAGGAACCATCATGTATCTCTTAGAATTGCAGCTAACAAGTATTCTAGGAATAAAGAAACAAATGAAAAAATAGAAATTCCTGTCTCCCTTAAGCAACTTTTCCTCTGAATAACTTTATGCAAATTTTTCTCTTCTTTCCTTCAAAATCTTAAACAATGAATGTTTGAAATTGATTGTAGAAAACAAAATAATCTTTTATATCAGTTTGCCCAATGCATGCCACAAATAAGTAATATGTGGACACAAGTAATCTAACAATGACACTTATAATGTAAAAAGTTCAAGAAGATTCTACGAAACTCTTTTTTGTGAAGTATGTGTTGAGACTTGTATCCCCACAAATAGGCTTAGTTCAGTATTTCTGATGCTATTCCATGTGCAAATGCTCCCTGAATTTAAAAGTGAGAATATTTAGTTAAAAGGATTTATAAGGGTGATCACATCAGTGAATGAGAAATGGAAATGTAAAATTGGAAAGAAAATTGGTATGAATCCTCAATATGTTCATGTGCTATATTTCATGACTCACATAACGGAAAGGTACCATATTCAGATTCAGAAGACCTGGATTCAAATCCCTGATCTTAGGTACATAGCTGTCTGTCCTGGTTCCCTAACCTATAAAATTGAAATCCCAAAATAATAATATTCTTGCTTTAATGTCCACACAAATTTGAGAAAACTAAACTAGATAATACACATATAAGTGCTTTGCAAACTATAAAGTACATTATAAGCATGAGGTAATACTATATATAGCTTACACATGTATGTTTGTGAATATAAATGGTGTGTGCACACATAAGTGCATGCATGTGTTAAGAACTTGAGGTCTTGGGCCCAATAATTTAGCTCTTTAATTTCTTCAGTAATGACAATTCAATTTTAACTGCTAAAATCCCTGCTATTATTCATTAACAACTCTAGAAAAACTGTTGACAAAGGGATTAAAATTCCAATCCAGCAATGTTGCTTTCTCTTAGCATTTCTGATTAATGATTTATTGAGAAGGTGGATGAGCATGGCTAAATTTAGTTTAATTGATCAATGAATTTAATTGAACTATGATAACTATTTTCTCAATTATAAAACATACACAAGAAAAAGCAATAAAATAGCCTACAACTTCAATGCCTTTCTTTAATCTTATTCTGGATTATCAAATCCTTCACAAATTTAGTATATTATCTATAACAACATGCCATGCCATTTTAGGTAAACCTCAGCAATTCTGTGCTACTTTTCTCCCCCTTCCTGATCTTTCCTCCATGTTATAAACTACCAAGCATGCTGCATGATACTGAAATCCATTTTCCAAAATGGCAAACTCTTAAATGATATATTTCTTTTCATTAGTAAATTATTTTTGTTCTTCTCTGACCAAGAAGTTGGTCATAACTTGAAGGTACTTACTTCCCAGTGAGGAGCTCATACACTAGAATTCCCAGGGACCAAAAATCCACACTGAAGTCATGTCCTTTGTTGAGAATGACTTCAGGAGCTACATACTCTGGAGTTCCACAGAATGTCCATGTTTTCTGTCCAGATCCTATTTTCTTGGCAAATCCAAAGTCAACCTGGAAAAGAATGTCACCAAAATTCTCAGAAATCAGACTTCTCACCTCCTTACTTCCCCAATCTTTTTCTAAACCTCCATTCTTCCCTTACACACACACGTACACACTAACTCTAAAATTTATTCCTTCCAGGGTCAGATATAAATCTAGTTACACTAGAGAAAGTTTTGTGCATATACCTCTAATCCACACCCCCAAGAAGACAAAAGGAATGGTTTAGTAAGAGGGGACCATTAAAACAATGTAGAGTTCAGGGAAAGTAGGATAAACATAATTTTCAAGTCAATGGTGGTATACACTAAGAAGAGGAGAAAAAAGGGAAAAGGTGGACCTATATGCACAAAAGAAAAATTAATAGCAGAACTGAGAGTTTGGGAAATGGACCAGTGTTGTGAAGACGAAAGGTTTAAAATTCTGTATAGTCTTTAAAAAGTACTATGCACATGGGCCTCCCTGGTTGCTTAGAGGTTAAGTCTCAGCACTACCACCGCCACAGCCTGAGTTGAATCCCTGGCCAGGGAGCTAACCCACATAGCCCAGCAGACCACTCCTGTTTTGCCCGCTGCTCCCTTTAGCAGCATGTTTCAGCACATGCCTGTGCTGTTCCCCACTCTGTCCCTGGTGAATCCTCTCACCCCCGCACCTCTGGCCTACACCCCAGTTCTACGTAAAAATAAATAAAATCCTTTAAAAAAAATACAAGTATTATGCACAATGTCTCTATATTTTGACAGCCCAAAGAAAAGCCAGGATAATCCCATCTCAACTTTGGCTGAGCTGTACATATTTTCAGTTCCTCTCAGGGAGGAGAAAGGTGGGTATTATCTGCATTAACTTATTTATTCTTAACAGATATAGTTAGCACCCACTATCGGTCAGGCACTGTGCTGGGCTTACAGACAGAGTTCACATGGGGAAGCTGAGCATACAGAAAATATTTACCTGATTAATATATCATAAGATACATGACAGAGCAGACTAGTACTCAAAATATAAACTCAGACGACCAAAGTACATATACTATGGGAATATTTCAGGGAGAAGACTTTTGGGGAAGATGTCATTAGAAGGAGACATGTGAGTTCAGCCCTGACTGAGGCCAGGGTAATGAATCACCGTGACCCTCATCTGTCTTCACAATAGGATCTCCACTTCCCAGAACCACAATTCAATGAATTCTGTGAACAGAATAGAGACAGCAAAGGAGGCTGGAGCAACAGAAGAGCCACTCACTGAATCGAGGCAGTGTATATAACTGAAACTCTGCCTTGCAAAACAAATAGTTGGTTTCTTTCCACAGGGGTTATTCAGCACCTACTTTTCATCTCCAAATCCAGATATTATTTTAATAAAACCACCTCTGCCTCCCCTAAGTAAACAGCCCAGATTATACCTGAGCTTGAACTTGTACATTTTAATAGCTTCATCATGCATGGATGATCTCAATAATATGGCAGTAATCTTGACTTAAAAACTAAGTAAATAAGGTTAAAATATCAAAATTGACCCTCACTTTAAAAAGTATGCCAATGAACTATAATATCCTCATTTTTTCAAATATTAGCACTTACAATTTTTGTTTTATTTTAAATAAATCTCCTAGAAGTTCAATTTTTTATAAATTAGTTTTAGTATTTATCATATAACTTCCAGGATTTTCTTATTAGAAAAAAGGAATTTAAACAACCGAATTTGGAAATAGGCTGTTATAGGTTTTTTTTTTTTTTAATCTATACAGAATGACTCACAAAGATTATATCTAAGAGATAGCTGGGGATATTGTGAAATTAAAATCTATAGCCAGCTGAGATTAGCGTATGTACTTATCCCTCAGAGAAAGAACCAACATGAAAATCCCAGCTTATTTTATAAAGGCTGAACTTTAATAAGAGTTAAGAAAGCAATGCTTATAAGTGCATCTGTTTGTACACATATATGGAAGTACTATATTTTGTTATTTTATATTGGCCTTTCAAGTCATTTTTTTATTGCATTTAGATTTTCCTTTTTGGATTGACTAGCAGTTCACTAAATGTTTAACAGAACTTTTCTAGCTCTGAAAATGGGAAATTTTAATTTGAACAGCTGGTTTTGTCTTTTGTGCTATTTGCATGTTGTCCAAAGGGATGGCAATAATAATACTATGATTTTAAGAAATTTGAAAACTTAACACTTTCTTTTATCTAGTTTGTTCTGATTAATTGTCGTGTATTCAGGCATCAGAAACTTATACTCAGGTCTATCCAAAATTATGTGGTTAATAAAGAAGGTCCCGTATCTTCTGATATCAAGTTCTGTGTATTTTTCTATAAAAATTCACACTACCTCTGTTTTGTATTATCATGGGTACCATCATGAACCCTGGTCTTTTTTTAACCCTATATCTTCTAGGCAACAGAAATGTAAGTAATTTCATATTTATTCAATCAATGAAAATGTATTAAACATTATTATGTATAATAAGCATCAGGATACAGAGTCCAGCTTTTTAGAGCTATATTCAAGAGAAACAGGGGAAGCAGCATGCAAATATTATACATAATACAGCAATGCCAGAGAGTGACATATGCTATGAAAAAATAGATAGCAAAGTTAAGTACAGATGACAACATGAGCTGCACTTTAAACAGGGTGAACACAAAGAGGCTCTCTGAAGAGGTAACATTTAGAAGCTTTGAGCAGAAATCTGAGTAAAATAAGAGAGTTCTGTAAAAAGTGGAGAATGTGTGATTCTGTTAGAAGAGAAAGTAGCTCAAAGACCCTAGACTTCGGGAACATGCATCAGAGGTTGAAGGATTGGCAAGGTCAGGGTGTGAGGGGAAGAGAAGCAGGAAACAAGGGCACATCATGCAGACATCTGGTAGGTCACAGGAAGAACTTCAGGTACTCACTGGTAAGAGGTCGCTAGAGAATTACAAGAAAGGATATATGTGACCTGAAATGTTTTAAAGAGACTATTCTGAAAGACCAGAAATTAAACTCTCTCCTTTTATAAAATTTTCTTCAAATTCTTCTAGTAAAATTAGGCTTCCAAGATGATTCTCTTGAGAAGATGCACATGAGTTTTCCTTTGTGTCCATTACATTCCCCTCACTAAAATAACTTTTTATGCTAAAAATTAAAACATTTAATCTTCAAAAACATTAACAAACTAGAAGGTTTTAAGATGTCTCTAAATCTGCAGCAATGATTGCATCATTCAGGAATAGAAAAACTGGCATTGTGGCTTGCTGGAGCTGGTGTCCAGGAAGCATTAGCTTTTTCCCAGAAGTTTCTCTCTGGATCAGTAAATTTGTCAGATATTGGTTCTCTTGGTCAAATAAAAGACGGATACAGAATAGCCAGTCTAAATAAGCCTGATGATTCATGGAGACATAGTATTTATAAAAAAAAAATTATGTGGCATTTTTAGGGCACCCTTTTTTTCCCAAGTCTAGACAAGCGTAAAATGGAATTTGTTTATCCTGTCCACCAACAACCAAAGATGATGGTAACATCATCCACTAAAACAGGTCACAGTGAATGACTTCCACTGGATGGAAAAGAATGAGAAAGGCTAAGACATGGGGAGGACAAGTCTTTCACAGCAACAACTCATTCTCTTGGTTAAAGTACTTAAGAGTATTTGGTAGGGAGTGGTCAAGATGAAGGGAGCTTTGCATTCACAAAAATGAACAGAAAAACTTGTTGAAGGCTCATCTCATATGCCACTACCTCTGAAGTCTTGAATTTACAGTGTGAGTGCCTTTCTCCTATGACATTCTTTAACACTATATTCCACAATTACATGCCTTGTGAAAGCATCCTTCGGTTGTGTGTGAATAAATCTAGCTCCTTGAAGAAAGGCATTGTATACTATTCATTTTGTACCTTCTACAGTATAACACAGCAGAGACTCAATGTGCATTTAGTACAAAAGAAATCTGAATGAAGAGATAGCTGTTAACATCAATTTCAATAAAATATGTATGTGCATGTATAATCTTTACAACTTTGAAAACTAGGGGTTATTATCCCAGTGTTAAAGATCAGAAAATTAAAGTCTAGGAATGCCATGCACAGTAGAGGTGAGACTTGAACTAAGTTGCAATGGGAACCTTCCCATGATAGGTAAATTGATGAGGAAGTAGAAGATATTTAAGGGGAAAGAAAAGTTAATTAAGCACACGAGTAAGGCAACTTCTTTCTCATTCACAGGAACATAGATTTTGTTCACTAATACTGATGAAATTAAGGTAGAAACCAATAGCAAAATTTTAGGATCAGAAAGAAACTACTAAAAAACATTAACTCATCTCATTAGAAATTTAAGCATACATCAAAATACTTCAAGGATCAGTGAAAAAAATTTTTTTAAAGATTTATTTATTTATGCATATAAGAACTGGGGTACAGGCCAGAGGTGCGGGGTAGGTGAGAGGAATCACCAGAGAAAATGGGGAGCAGAACAGGCAGATATACTGAAATGCACTGCGGAGAGGAGTAGTGGGCACAACAGGAGAGGTCTGCTGTGCCATGTGGGTTGCTCCCTGGCTGGCCGGGGATCGAACTTGTGCTGCAGTGACTGGCAATAGCCTGACAGTGCTGTCTTTAACACGTGCCACCAGGGAGGCCCGAAAAGAAATTTTAAAAGAATATTAAAAACAGAATATACTCCATCGATTCAACTCCATAGGTTGCAACTAAAGTGATGGCTAGAGTAATGACTGTAGCCTTATATGTTTCAACTCAGAAATAAGAAAGCGAAAAATCAATGAGTCAAGCATCCAACTTAAGAAACTGGACAAGAGGTATATATAATAAGGCCAAAGAAAGAAAGGAAGAAAGAAAAAACAATAGCGCCAAGAACATGAATTAGTAAAATATGAAATAAAAAGGAAATGGAGCTACAGTTGATGTTCTTAAAAAGATTAATAAAATTAGCAAATCTATGAAAATACTGTTCAGAAGTAAAGACATACAGATAAATGTCATGAATGAACGTAATTAGAGTTCAAGCAGAGATTGCAACGAACTAGAAAGAATTTGGATAATGTTATACTGTTATTTATGAAATCTAAGATTTCAGGAAAATCTTACAGAAAAGATATCTAAAATCCCTAAGCATGGCTGGGCTCTAGCGGGAGATCCCTTCCTGGTTTACAAACGACTGTCTTCTTCTCCTATGGGCTCTTACGTCACCCTTTACCCCTGTTTAAAAATGCCTTTAATTCACCCTTCTTAACAGATATTTTCTCTGGATTTACAATTCAAGATTCTTAGTTATTTTCTTTCAGAAATTTTACAATTTTATTCCATTGCATTCTGGCATCTATTGTTGCTGTTGAGAGGTCAACTGAGTGCCTAATTTTTATCCCTTTATATGTAAACTGTCTGTTTTACTTGATAGCTTTTAAGACTTTTTTTTGTTCCTTATGTCCACAATTACAATAGCCAACATCCAAAAAGGCCTCAGTTTTTTACTCCCTATATTCAAGGCTGGCTCTGTGAGGCTAGCAAAACACAGAGAAGTGCCGGTATGACTTCTGAGAGCTGATCTTAACACATTGTAGCCTCTTATTCTGAAAGAAGCTAGCTAGCTGCTTTCCATAAGGAAGTGGAACCGGTTCCATGAAGAAGTCCATGGGGAAAAGAATTAACGCCCCAACTAATGCTAGCATCAGTTTATCAGCCATATGAGTGAGCCTTTGTGAATTTGGATCCTCCAGGCCTAGTCAAGCCTATAGGTGACTGCATTCCCAGCCAACATTTGACAGAAACTTTTTAAGACATCTCAGGAAAGTCAGAACTATCCAGCTGAGCGACTCTCAAACTGCTGACCCACAGAATCTGTGAGAGATTATAAATGATTATGAACCATATTGCTAAACCACACAAAGCTTATCAAATTCCCTTTTGAAGACTTGTTTCCAGGGGCCTCCCTGGTGGCGCAGGTGGCTGAGCACACCACTGTGAAGCTGTCCACAGCCTCTGCAGCATGGGTTTGATCCCGGCTGGCCAGCGAGAATCCCACATGGCAAAGCAGACCTTTCCTGTCTCGCCCACTGCTCCCTTCAGCAGTATATTTCTTCAGTCTGCCTGTTCTGTTCTCTGCTCTGTCTCTGGTGAATCCTCTCACCCTCCTGTGCATCTGACCTGTACCCTGGTTCTTGTATAAAAATAAATAAATCTTTAAAAAAAAAGAAAAAAAAAAAGACTTGTTTCCACATTAAGGACCTGAGCTGGACTTTTGGCACTCCCTGTATGCTGCCCTGAGGCCTGCGGCTGGTGGAATGGACCAGCTAGCCCAAGGTTCTGGGTGGAGCCTGCATCTTCAAGGAAGGGGAAGGTGGGAGGTGGAGTCTCTATTCAGGAGCCAGGGGTCTTCAGCCACCAGGGTCAAGTACTAGCACTGGGCAAGAACACATTACTGCTCATGGGACAGATGGGAAGGTCCAGCAATGGTGACTGCAGCACTAGTGTGTGCACCTACAATGTGGGCATGTACAGAAGCAACTGAACTTTTTAAAGTTCTTGTTTTTTAAAAGTGAGTTTAAGTTCCTTGGAACTTTATCTCCAGGAGTCCTTTGTGTCCTGGGTTCAAAGTACATTTTTCCAGAGAGAATATATATTGCTTTTTGGAAACTTGGGTATGGTATGTACATGAATCCATTTTCATTTACATTTTGCTTAGGTTTTTCTGTCCTTAAAAACTGAGTAGCCAACCTCCAAGATCAGCCTGGTCAAAACTTCTTAGTGGAGACTCTTCTGTTCTTCTACCAACAACCCAACAATGAGAAAAGCTTGTTTTCTTGCACATACTCTTTCTTTATAAATTGTTCGTTTTTTTCTTACTTTCTACTTCTCTGAGAGTATAATCCATGTAATTCCTGGCTCTGTGCAATGTTCTCTGATTCAACATTCCACACTGTCCAAGTGCAAAAAAATTGTTTCCTCTTCCCAGAGGGTTCTGCTGCTAAAATCAAACTTCTAGACCACCTAGGATTGCTGGGTGCCCACAAGACAGCAATTTCAATCTTTGAGCTCCACCCTATACTAATGCTCAATTGGCAGAATCCCAATACTGTCTTACAAATTCAGCCATGCATTTGTAATACTGCTTTTAATGTTTCATTCAGTATTTTAAAAACATTTTATAATAAGAGGATTTCATACATAGTATATTTCATACATAGCTTTAAATGAAAACATTCGACATATACATTTTAATCTCGAAAGGCTTTAGTTATTACTTGTCATGTAGGTGCTTGTCAATGATCTAGCTGGATGGATAACAATGGCTAATAAGAAATTTATTGACCCTATACCTACAGTGCTGAATATGTTATCTGATTTTATAAGAAGTTATTTTTTAAAAAGGATGAATCTAATGATTAGCCTATATCTCTTGTGATTTTAATTCTAGAATATTCCAAAGCTTCCTAAAAATCTATAAGAGGTATAGCCAATGAAAGAAGTGTGAAGAAGAGTGATTGAGGTTTTGTGTTAGTACCCCACCAGATCTCAAAGGCGCCTTTCATGAATAAAATGAAGCTTGAATGGATCAAAATGTTTCTTGGAAGTGAGCCAGATTTCATATGAAAGGACTTTTATTTAGCTCCTTTACTATGGAGAGTAATCACTGAGCAATTACACATAATGAATTCAGTTCCTAAGGCTAAATTACAAACCATAACATGAAAATGATAAAGCTTCTCATTGATTATTAAGTATACTAATTGCAAAATGTTTTGCATGGTAGCTTTACATATAGTAGGTGCTCATTAAATGGTAGCTGTGGTTATTTCCATATACAAAAGTTCCGATGTGAATACCTTTTAAAATCTTTGTAAATGTTAAGCACTGAGATGGTTTAATGTCCTTAAGGTTCTGACACAATAGATTCAGGAAAACTCAGTCTGGGTTCTCCTGCTAATGGGGTCCCTTCCTAAGGTCTGCAGCGCCGTGGTTTCTCCTCAGTTACGACTATTATGATTTCTCACAAAAAACTGTTCATGTGGTTGGCAGCATTTTTTTTTCAGTGTGACATTCTGGGGGATCCCTGTTAGGCACTAGAGGATGACTAAGATAACAAGGACAGTCTCCTCAAGGATCCTGTGGCCTAACATGATTCTCAACCCTCCCTGCTCTTCAGAATCACCTAGAAACATTTCAAAAAAGCTACCACAATCCATGTGTACTTTCTTTCCTTATGCAGACAGTGGCAAGCTTGGAGCTGGAGACATAATATCTTCTTTCCTTACTCCTTAAAGCCAGTCTTTAGATGTGGTAGGAATTGATAAAACAATAGTTAAAATTATTAAAAATATAACAAAATCCAATTTTAAGGGTATTATATTATGTGACTTCCATCAATTGACTTTAGACAGAGTCAGAAATATAGCTGAGATATTAATTTCCTAGGTCAAAAAAAAAAAAAAAAACATGATTTGCATCCTGGGCTAAGTGTGCGAAATTCACAATGTTTTGCATGGTAGCTTTACATATAGTAGCTGCCCATTAAATGGTAGCTGTAGTTATTTCCATAAATGAAAGTTTTGATGTGAATAGTTTTTAAAATCTTTGTAAATGTGAAGTGCACCAAGTAAAAATGACAGGTCTACCAAAATTAAAAGAAAATAACAACTACAATGCGATGTTGCATTTTGAAATAACTTGTCTGATACTGTAAGTTAGAAAATTTATCTTACCAATTTAAGATAACCCTCAGCATCTAGAATTAAGTTCTCTGGCTTCAAGTCTCTGTAGATAATGCCTAGTCGGTGCAGGTAATCAAATGCTTCTGTCACGCAAGCAACGCAGAACTTGGAAGTAGATTCATCAAAACTGCCCCTGCAATAAAATCATTTTCTCTCTTATTATTCTAGACATAGATCGTTGTTGTCCTTTCTAGGTATCAGTTACTATATTGGTAAGTCTATGACATAGATATTTTGTAGGACATTAACACTAAAAATAATTTTATAATGACAATGAATTAGACTATTGACCACAAAGAATTTCAGGGGCATGTCTGATGCCAACAAGAACTACTTCACTTAAGTGCCTACAGCCCAACAGCTGTTTCTTATAATCATAGATGAACACAAAAATAGATAAGGAAACAAAGACCTTTTTTAAAGACTATTATGACAAACTCTGGAGAGACTGCAACTACTTCAATAGTGAGCTTGAACCAGACTTCTGTAATTGATTGCTTGACTAAAAAATGACTTAACCGATCATTTTCATTTCCTGTGAATATGCCATATAACATTAACCCATGTAGAAATGGGGTCATAGTTCTTTCCTGTGTGATGCACTATAATGATATTAAAGTTGCCCTGTGTCAGCACTGAGATAGGTTTTCATACTGAATTATTGAAATGTGGTGTGATTTGCTTCTTGGGTATCACTTTGGAATGAGGGACTGGTTGGGACTCCTGTTTCTTCCATGTACTGTGTCCTCAGCAAGTTCCTTAGCTGTTTTGAGCCTCAGATCCTTACCTGTAAAACTACTTGTTTAGTGGTGTTGTTCTGAGGATCAGGTGCAGTGCCTATCATGTAGTTGAAATTTCCTTTTCTAAATAAATTTAGATCTTCTATGCAGTTCTTCCCAATGAAGCAACGATGCTGAAGACGCAAATGCTTTTACAGGTATCACACGTCTCCTTACCTTTCCAGGTTATCTGCGTTCAGATCCATCCAACAGTATGTTCCAAACACAACTCACTAAAGTTTTACTTGAATGCTTCAAAGTCTCTTTTACCTAAGGTCCCTGATACTTTTTTCTCCTAAATTTTATTTATTTAGTTTTGCACAGAAAACTGGGGTGCAGGTCAGAGATATGGGGATGTGAGAGGATTCACCAGAAACAGAGTGGTGGGCAGAACAGGCAAACTGACTGAAATACACTGCTAAGGGGAGCAGCAGGTGAGACAGGAGAGATCTGCTGCGCCATGTATAGGTTACCTCCCTTGCTGTGGATCGAACTCAGGCTGTGGTGGTGATAACACTGAGACTTAACCCCTATGCCACCAGGGAGGACCCCTCCTGTTTCTTTAAATGAACATGAAGACAGCACCCTTTAGGTCAGATGTGAGGAGACAAAAGTTATTATTTACAGTCCTTTTCCCTTACCTGTCTCTTAATATACTCCACAGCTCTCCACCTAAACAGGCCTCCAGAAGCATGTATACATATTTATTGTCCTTGAAAGTACGATATAACCTGTGAACGCAAATAAAGAGTAGTTATTATTAGAACTTATGGTTTTACTTATTCGTTGGGGTTTTTTTGGGGGGGTATCTAAAAGAACAAGTCTATTATATATATATTAAAAAAAAAAGGAAAGGAGAAGATGCTTGTGCCGACACAAGTGGGCAGGAAGAGAACTTATGGGTTTAAAAACGCTTTACATAAGGACCTAGAACATTTGGGCTTAACAGACATCTATAGAACACTAAACCCAAAAAAAACGGAGTACACATTTTTCTCAAGCGCACATGGATCATTCTCCAGGATCGATCACATACTGGGGCACAAGACAAACATCAACAGATACACCAAGATTGAAATCATACCAACCATCTTTTCTGACCACGAAGGCATCAAACTAGAAATAAATCATAAAAAGAAGGCAAGGAACTATCCTACCTCATGGAGATTAAAAGCCACACTACTGGAAGACCACTGGACTAACGAGGAGATCAAAGAAGAAATTAAAAAATTCTTTGAATTGAATGACAAGGAGGACACCAATATCCTAAATGTATGGGATGCAGCAAAAGCAGTAATAAGAGGAAAATATATAGCAATAGAAGCTCACATCAAAAAACAAGAAAGAACTCAAAGAAACAACCTAATCTCGAAGCTCAAAGATCTAGAAAAAGAACAACAAAAAAACCCCAGAACCAGTAGAAGAAAAGAAATAATAAAAACCAAAGCAGAAATAAATGAAATTGAAACTAAAAAAACAATCCAAAAGATCAATGAAACCAAGAGCTGGTTCTTTGAAAAAATAAATAAAATAGACAAACCCCTAGCCAGGCTCACAAAGGAAAAAAGGGAGAAAGCACAAATACACAGAATCATAAATGAAAGAGGAGAAATCACAACGGACACAGCAGAAATCAAAAGAATAATCAGTAACTACTATGAACAGTTATATGGAAACAAGTTCAACAATCTAGAGGAGATGGACAAATTCCTACAACTCTACAATCACCCAAAGCTAGATAAAGAAGAAATAGAACACCTAAACAGACCAATTACAAGCAGCGAAATTGAAATGGTAATTAAAAACCTCCCCAAAAACAAAAGCCCAGGACCTGATGGATTTACAAATGAATTCTACCAAACATTCAGAGACGAATTAGTGCCTATCCTTCACAAACTCTTCCAAAAAATTGAGAAGGAAGGGACAATACCAAACACGTTCTATGAAGCCAATATTACACTAATACCAAAACCGAATAAGGACAACACAAAAAAGGAAAACTACAGGCCAATCTCCCTAATGAACACTGATGCAAAATCCTCAATAAAATTTTAGCTATCAGAATCCAACAATGTATCCATAAGATAATTCACCACGACCAAGTTGGATTCATTCCAGGGGCACAAGGATGGTTTAACATCCGAAAATCAATCAACGTTATCCAACACATCAACAAAAAGAAATATAAAAACCATATGATAATATCAATAGATGCTGAGAAAGCTTTCGACAAAGTGCAACACCCATTCATGATAAAAGCCCTTGAAATTCTTGGGATACAAGGAACATACCTCAACATCATAAAGGCCATCTATGACAAGCCAACAGCCAGTATCATTCTCAATGGTGAAAAGCTGAAAGCAATTCCATTAAGATCTGGAACAAGACAAGGATGTCCACTCTCACCACTGCTTTTCAATATAATACTGGAAGTCCTAGCCAGAGCAATAAGACAAGAGAAAGACATCCAAGGAATCCAAATAGGAAAAGAAGAAGTCAAACTATCACTATTTGCAGATGATATGATAATATACATAGAGAACCCCAAAATCTCCACAGAAAAACTAATTCAACTCATCAATCAATTCAGTAAAGTGGCAGGATACAAAATCAACATGCAAAAGTCAGTAGCCTTCCTATACACAAACAATAAATCTGAAGAAGAAGAAATCAAAAAAACCACCCCTTTTATTATCGAAACAAAAAAAATCAAATATTTGGGAATAAATCTAACAAAAGAGGTAAAGGACCTATACAAAGAAAACTATAAAACACTGTTAAAAGAAATAGAAGAAGACACAAAGAAATGGAAAGACATCCCCTGCTCATGGATTGGAAGAATAAACATTATTAAAATGGCCATCCTACCAAAAGCAATATACAGATTCAATGCTATTCCAATCAAAATCTCAATGGCATTCTTCAAAGAAATAGAACAATTATCGATGAAATTCATATGGAATCACCAAAAACCCCGAATAGCCAAAGCTCTACTGAAAAAAAAAGAAGGAAATGGAGGCATCACACTCCCAGACTTCAAACTATACTACAAAGCCATAATCATCAAAACTGCATGGTATTGGAACAAGAACAGACATACAGACCAATGGAATCGAATAGAAAATCCAGAAATAAACCCACAGATTTATGGTCAACTAATCTTTGACAAAGGAGCGAAGACTATGCATTGGAGCAAAGAAAGTTTGTTCAATAAATGGTCCTGGGAAAACTGGGTCGCTACATGCAAAAGAATGAAGCTTGACCACTACCTCACACCATACACAAAAATCAACTCAAAATGGATTAAAGAACTAGACATAAGACCTGAAACCATAAAATACATAGAAGGAAATATAGGCGAAACACTACGGGATTTGCACATCAAAGACATCTTTACAGACACATCACCCAAAGCAGTGATAGTGAAGAGAAAGATAAACAGCTGGGACTACATCAAATTAAAGAGCTTCTGCACAGCAAAAGAGACAATAACAAAAACAAAGAGAAACCCCACCAACTGGGAGAACATTTTTGCACCCAACACTAATGATAAAGGACTGATCACAAAAATCTGCAAAGAGCTGATGAGACTCAGCAGCAACAAAGAAAATAATCCAGTCAAAAAATGGGCAGAAGAGCTAAAAAGAAACTTCTCTGAAGAAGAAATGCAAATGGCCAACAGACATATGAAAAAATGTTCAACATCACTTGTAATCAGGGAAATGCAAATCAAAACTACCATGAGATACCATCTTACACCAGTGAGAATGGCACATATTAAAAAAACTAGCAACAACAAATGTTGGCGAGGATGTGGAGAAAAAGGAACTCTTGTGCACTGTTGGTGGGAGTGCAAACTGGTCCAACCACTATGGAGAGCTGTGTGGAGATTTCTGGACCTACTAAACATAGAGCTTCCATATGATCCAGCAATTCCACTCCTTGGTATTTACCCAAAGGACACAGAAACATCAATTCCAAAGAGCACCTGCACTCCTATGTTTATAGCAGCACTGTTTACAATAGCTAAGCTTTGGAAACAACCCAAATGCCCAAAAATAGATGACTGGATCAAGAAGATGTGGTACATATATACCATGGAATATTACTCAGCATTCAAAAAAGATAAACACATGCAATTTGCAGCAACATGGATGGCACTGGAAGGGATCATGCTCAGCGAAATAAGCCAAAAAGAAAAAGAAAAATACCGGATGGTCTCACTCATAGCAGGAATCTAGAAAACTTAAATAAGGGACCAGGAAAATGAATATAAGAAAGTGAAAATCAAAATCAACAAAAAACTATGAACCAGAGACACTTTTTGGGGGGTGGGGGGCGGGAGGGGAAGGATTGGGGTCAGAATGGGGCGTTTGCAATTGTATGGGGGAATATAAAAATAAAATTTAATATTTAAAAAAAAAAAAAAAAACAATCTAAGGAACATTTATTCAAGTAAATGGTTGAAACTTGTTACTTAGATTAAAAAAAAAAAAAAAAAAAAAAAAAAAACGCTTTACAGTAGCTTAAGAGCATCATCAATAACATTTGAAACAAAACTCCTCATCTTCTAAACATCCTACAGCCACAATGGACTTTTCGCTGAATACACTGATCTTTCCTCCTTCCTTACTCATGGTAACCCCTTTACTTAAATTCTTTCCTTCTACTTAAAAACGGAACCTCTTTATCTCAGTTTCATTGTAAAATGTGGCATCCATTCTCTGAGACCAAGCTCAAAGGCAACTTCTTGATAAAGCAACTTAAATATCCTGCCTGCAAATAGGGTCACCTTACAAAGACCCAAAACCTCTTCACAGATCTCCTTTAAGATCTGCCTGGCATAACAGTTATTCATGCCATGTCTTATGTCTGCTACTCGGTTAATTAATATTGGTTTCCCCAGGAAACAGACTCTGAGACAGATTTGTAAGCAGTGAGTTTAGTGAGTAGTGTACTTGGGAATGAAACACACAGGGGAAGAAGAAAGCAGCTTTGAACAGAGGAAATGCTGGACTATGATCTAGTTTCAACAACAGCCTCAGCTTCAAGGAACTCTGCCATTACTGGATGCAGGATGTACTTGGAGAGAGATTACACCAGTCATAGTGGTTCTCTTCACCTATGAACACTGGCCAGAGAGCGACTGAGCAGGCGTCCCTAGCTGGCAGCGCTCCCAGAAGGTGAGGAATGGCAGTGTCAGTTCTGACAGGGGCCCCAGCAGAGTACCATATTTCAGCATTGGGTAAAAGCAGTGTCTAGATCTTAAGAGATTTCCTTTTCTCCCTAGCACCATGCCCAGGCTAGAGCAGACTACGGAGCAGCCATATCTTGTGCAGACAGCAAACGCAATCTAATAAAGTGGTTGAGTGTGGACTTCGGACCAAGAGGATGAGGCCAGCTCATGTCCCTGATGGGTCATTTATTAGCTACATCACCTCTCTTTTCTTATTGTTCTTGTTCAATAAGGACAATCACAACACTTACTTCACTGTTCTATTACAAGGATCAAAGGAATGCATGCATTCATTTGATTTTATGTTGATTAAGTATCATTGATTATATACATTAACTTAATATATATTTTATATGTGTGTTCTATATGTATATATTAAAATATATATTGGATACATATATTTATATACATATATATTTTTATTTAAAAATAAAAACTTTTTGTGCTTATAGGAGTATCTGTCACATTTAATTTCTAATAAATATTCTCATTACTATTTATCTTTAATAGGGCCTCCCTGGCAGCGCAGCAGTTGAGCGCTGGGCTGCGAAACTGCCCACAGCCTCTGCAGCACCAGTTCAATCCCCGGCTGCTGGCGAGGGTCCCACATGGCGCGACAGACCTCTCCTGCCTTACCTGCTGCTCCCCTCAGCAGTATACTTCGTCAGTCTGCCTGTTCTGTTCCCTGCTCTGACTCTAGTGAATTCTCTCACCCTCCCGCGCTTCTGACTGTACCCAGTGCTTGTATAAATAAATAAAATCTTTTAAAAAATTTAAAAAAATTAAAATTAAAAAAAATATTTATCCTTGATATTATTATTGCCCTGCTATATTCCAGGTGAATATAGTTGTTCATCATAGTTTGTTACTGAACTATTTATTAAGAAGAGGAAAACATTTTGATAACATAGTTAATATAGAGATAACAGGATGCCTTTCCATTGTCAGCATTGGCTAGGTTCAAACCTCTTTTTTAATCTTGAAAATAAACCTAGGTCTGGGAATATGGATAGACAGGAAAACTCTCTCAAGAATTTGATAAAAATGTATACATTCTCTTTACTAGAAGGGCACTTTGCATCACCCAGAAATCACTAAAGCTTTAGTCTGAGGCATGAAGACAAAAGAAAATACAAACTACTCCACTAACTCATAAAGAGAGCAGAGGCTTAACACAAGTGATAATTCTCTTCTAAACTCTGGTGATAGCTAAAATCAGAAGGGTAGCTATTAGCAGATGGTCTTTAGCTTCTGGGCACTACCAGGACCACATCTGTGGCTCCGTGGCAACCCTCATATGCCCAAATGCTACTTCTTGCACAAATTTAACACCAACACACCCCAAGGGTTTTTGAGTGAAAACTTGTTTCCCAAATTCTGCATCAGGTCTAGAAGATACAGCCTGTTCAAATTATTCTACAATAATTTTATATTCATACGCATATACTCTTGCCTGAGATTTACCCAAGAATAGAATAACCTGGACTCTTGAGCCCAAATCTCAAATTTATATCATTTTATATACCATTGTTGTGACTAGGATGGAGAATCGGAGTGAGGAAGCTGCTTCCTTTCTCTCCTTTTACATGGAAACACTCACAAGAAGAGCCTAAAGTCCTAAGTCCTAGCAGCCAAATGCTCACTTACTTCACGATGAAGGGAGAACACAACTCTTCCAGGATCCTCTTTTCTGAGTAGACGTGCTCCTGCTGCTTTGTGTCCACAATGTGCTTCTTCCTGATACACTTCATAGCAAAGGCAACATTCTCATTTTTCACTTTAACCTAAGAAAAGAAAGATCCCCCCAAATTAACTCACTAGGAAAGATATGCAATATCTCTACAAAACATGTTAACTAGTGAGTTAAAATTCCTTTGCTGCTGAAGAGCACATAAACTTTTAACCAGGTGTCCTGCTGAGATCTGTGTTTCATGAAATTATACATACTTCCTTTCATTGCAATTTCTAAAACAGATCATATATCTGGAACATGGTTCTAAAGTTTTTGTATGAAACAAGGAAAAAACTCTGGTAGAAGATTTGATATTTACAAATCCATTCAGTTTTGAGTGTGTGACATGAAAAATTTTAACCAACATGGATAAAAGTTGTTCTTTGATAATAGTTGCTTCTTTGATTTTCAAAACAAAATATATTAAAGCAAGACTTATTAACACCATCATCCAATATGGTAACCACAAGTCACATGTGGTTGTTTGAATTCATTAAAATTAAAAATTCAGTTTCTCTGTTGCATTAGCCACAATTCAAAAGCTCACCAAAGAATATAGCCAGGGCCTCCCCGGTGGCGCAGCGGTTGAGCGCTGGGTTGCGAAGCTGCCTGCAGCCTCTGCAGCACCGGTTCGATCCCTGGCTGCTCCCCGCCCACCAGAGGAGGGTCCCGCGTGGCGCGCAGACCTCTCCTGCCGCCCGCTGCTCCCCTCAGCAGTGTGCTTCGGTCCTTCTGCCTGCTCTGCTCCCTGCTCTGGCTCTGGTGAGTTCTCTCACCCTCCCGCGCTTCTGACTATACCTAGTGCTTGTATAAATAAATAAATAAATCTTTAAAAAAAAAAAGAATATAGCCAGTGGCTGCCCTATGGGGCAGAGCAGATAAACAACATTTTCATCAGCATAGAAAGTTCTATTGGAGAGCCTGGCTCTAGATAGACAACCAGAATTTTCCCTTAAAAAGAAAAAAAAATATTAGTAGGTATTTATCTAGATAGGTTTGAAACTCCATCTATATGACAAGTAAAATGGTTGCCTAAATGTTTGGTTCAGGTTTGCAACTTGTGCTGCTTATGGCTTTTTAATCAATATGGGATTAAAGATTCAATTATTATTAATCAGCTAGAGAAAAAAATAATGATCTCAGCATTGTAAATTCAATCCTTTTGCCAAGATTATTTGGTGAAAAGTACCACTGCAGATGATGTCACGCCTATTTCTCCACACGGTAGACCAAATGCTACAAATACTCTTTGGTCTATCAAGAAGTCCTTCCTTCTCTCCTCACCATCAAAGATGAAGTACTGACTGGGTGTGCAGTGTACTATCCAGAGTCTCCTGGCAGCATTTCATATCAGACGGATGTGCTGGCATAGTTTCTGGAGGTTAATGTACAAGAATCATTTAAAATCTGCTAGGCAGAGAAGGGCTTTAATTGTCAGGGGTTCAGAGCCCTCTGTACCCAGTAAGGTCACAGACCTCCATTCTCCAGCTTTCTCTGAGCACCTGATGGGACAGTGCCATTCTGCGTCTCCTTAGAAGCTCTTTTATAAAGCTCAGAGAGGAGGTGATGCAGCGACATCAGGCCGGAAGTCGCCAGCTGTCCCGATCGACACTACAGAAGGCTGCTCTTCAAACCTCCCCTTGCATTCATATTCCTTTCCTTTTTTCTACTAGAAAATTTTGAACAACCCAAAAATAGGACAATGAAAGCCAAATACAGATATAGGAGTGGAGCTGTTGAAGAGGTGGAACTGTACTATTAAAGATTCCGCTTCTCTGGCACTCCCACAGGACACGTCTTCTTGTCTTTAGTACATAGTGATGTGTCATGAGAGCATGAACACACACATTTTGCTGTTAGGAAATTCATTTTTTTTCAATTTTGTAGACTCTGGGAATGCAATGCTTCCTTGTTATATTCTCCAATAATTACCATCAAGAAAACAATTCATCAAAAGATGAGAAGTTAAAGGCTTGAAATAGCAGCTATATTTTTACAACTTACTAGCATGGACCTGCTACTACACAACAGAGTGAAAAGTGCACTTTCTCAATTTCAACACTGAAGATAGCAATGATAAGTCAGATATTGATGCAAGACACACTGGAATATAAAAAAAAACAAACAAAATAAAAAGTCAAAAGGCTCTCTCAGATGCTTGAAACGTAAACCCCTTACAAGCTCAACTCTTCCGAACCCACCAACGCCCAGTGTTGCAATAATCTCAAGGTTCTGGAATGGGGATGATGAGGAAAATCTGGCCACCTTCTCCTTCAGCTGAATCATCTCCAGAGAGAGTGCTTTGGACAGCTTCCAGTTAGACATGGATCTCCTGTGAAGAGAAGTAAGACTTTACATATACCCCTTGGTCAAGTAGGGGTCATGCCAACCCATTAATTCCACTATTATAATAATCTTAATTCTGCTCATTGTTACTGCCCACATTTGCCCCAAAGGCTATCTCAACATTTACAGCATCAGATTTAGTCACATCTGGGGAGAAAAACAACAACAAAAAAAAAAACTGACATGCACACATAATAAGGACAAATGTCAAATTGAATCAATGAGAGGTAAATGGGGTGAGTTATGTGGTATTTAAAATGCATCTCAATAGAGATTTTTAAAAAGTCAATGAGAGGAAATGAAACCAAAGAGCCATTTCCTCTGCTGCACATACAGGAAAATACCACACTGAGAATCTTTGCTGTTCTATTTTAATCAGATCCTGAATAAGTGCTCTGTGAAACATGAAAAAAATCGTATCTTACTTTATATCTATATATTACTATTTGAAAATATCCATTTGTTCTCTCTTAGTTAAAGTTTACTATTGTGGGTTATATAGGCATAAATTGTTGCTACTACAAAGGCCTGTTGCATAAAAATCATAAGGATGTTCCTGGTGAAAAGAACGTACTGGGTCCTGATTGAATGCTCTAATTTAGCTCAAACTTGAGTTTTCTAGAGTCTAATTTTTGACAGTACAATTTGGTGAATGTAAGTTTACATATTCTCTCTACATAATGTTTTAGCAAAGGATTTCCAAATAATTTTAATTTTTTATTTTTTTTAAAGATTTATTTTATTTATTTATACAAGCACTGGGTACAGTCAGAAGCATGGGAGGGTGAGAGAATTCACCAGAGCCAGAGCAGGGAACAGAACAGGCAGACTGACAAAATACACTGCTGAGGGGAGCAGTGGGAGCAACAGGAGAGGTCTGTCACACCATGTGGGACCCTCACCAGCAGCCGGGGATCGAACCGGTGCTGCAGAGGCTGCAGGCAGCTTTGCAGCCCAGCTCTCAACTGGTACGCCACCAGGGGAGGCCCTTAATTTTTCAATTTTTAATTGGAGTTTTCTATTAACTGGAGAACTTTTTATCTTTATACCAAATTTAGAACTCTACCTAATTCATCTCTGGAGAGAGAGCGCATAGTTCTTCACCTGGAATGAAAATGAGTGGGCTGCTCTATGCCTTGGCTTTCCTGTTTAATTTCCAGGAAAGGAGGGAAGCAGGCTTAACATTCTTTTGCACTAAGAGACCAGATAAAGAAATCCTTTTCCCTTATCAGGAAATTTCTCCCCAACATTTCAATTTAACACAAAAAAATAAGGAGCTAGATAGTTGCAGACTAAAATAACAGCTTCACTAATGGTAAAGAGCATCCTCTTTGTGGAACAATTAAAATAAACTTCCTCGCTCCCCACCCCATGTGTAGTGAAGGCTCATAAAGGCACAACATGACAAATCCCCCCTCTTTTTCCCCAAATTCATCAGTTGCCAAAATTCATATTCTACTTAGGAGAAGATTCCTCTACTTACTTTGCATGTCTTTTTTCATCATCACGGTTCAGGTTTGCCACATACCCTTCTAAGTATTTTTGCAATTCTTCAAAAGTCCCAACTGTTTGGTTGAAGGTTCTAAATGAATGGAATAAAATCAAAAGTTCTATGCTGGTAATTATCATTGCAACTTGGCATTCTTCTTGAGCTCATAAAAAAGGTTTTTGTAGCATCACTCATGGCTTTATAACAGTTTTCAATAATTTTCGTTATCTTAAAGTTGCCATAATATAGCACAGTTATTAGAATTTATATATTTATGCCTTTAAAGCTATAGAAGTTAATAGGCTATCAGTGAGAAGACAAATATTTCTATGAGGTTTGCCAACAGTTATCACTTATTTTTAAGAAGACAGTGGAAAGGAAATCATCTATATGATCTGTACAATCAAAAGTTTTCATGGGTTATAGATATTTTTCTAAATTTGCTTAATCAGATTATTTGTTTTAAATTCAAGGATAAAATTGATTTCTTCTTTGTCCTCAGACAATACTCCTCATTTCACATTTCTTCAAAATTAAATCCAAATTTGTACCTTAACTTAATATATTTCTGACACTCAGCCTACATCTCCCCTTGATCTCCCTCACCCTTTACAGATCTTAGGTTTGTTACGTGTCTCATCCAATCTCCTGACTCAGTATGTTGTCTCTGGCAATTGCTACCTACCACACTGCACATAAGAAAAGAGGATCTTCCTCACTAGTGCAAGATGTTTTGCTTACTATCTTTGGAATATTTTCCCACTTCCACATTTGACAATCTACCCTGAGTTATGATTATTAGGGTGCTTCTTTTCCCTACTACAAAATAGTGTCCTCCTGGGAACCATACTTTAGTCAACTTGGCCACACCTTAAGCACTAAGACATAGAAAATTGGGTGGAATAAAAATTTAGCTCAAAATATGTAAAATGTAGTAAACCAGGACCCCCACACTTGTGTGCAATCACCACTCCCTGATTGCCTAACCCCGAAAACGTCAACTCTCATTCACTGACCACCAATCCATACTGAGGTGCTACACAATAAAATATATTAAAAGTGTATATATCTTATACACTGGTTATTTTCCACTCATCTCTCTAACTCTGCTCTTTACTCTTCTCTATCAATGGACTGTAGTCCATTGATTGTAGAGAGGTGAGAAATAAAGCAATAGAGCCACAATTTTTAAATATAAAATTTTTGAAATTTTCAGGTAAAAAGGAAATACTTTCTATACTTTGGTTTTACTTATTTTATCTGTAACTATTATTTTATCCACTATAAAACTAATTCAAGTTCAACTGTAAGCAAATCTTATTATCTTAAAGGTAGACGACACTGATGTCACAGGTTCCAAGAAACGCTTCACAAACTAAATTGAAAGTCAAATATAAAGAATTACTAGCTGCTCCAGGTGCACATGCACAGCCTGTACTTATTCTGATGAGAGAGCCCGAGGGACAACTAATCAACTTCTTTGAGCTCTGTCCCTGCAATCAATGGTGGAGATGTCAGGAATAAAACTGCCCATTCACCTAGAGCTACTGTCATCTTCCTTATTACCCACATTTCATTACATTTTAAAAATAGGAAATGTAGCTCAAATGTTAAGTCTCCTTTTTGCAATAGATTCATTCTATGCATGTTTTAAAATCACGGATTAAGAAAAATGAATAAAAAGCCATAGACTTTCAGACACTAGATTTCATTGCAAGGATGGTGCTGCTTTGTTCAGCCAACATCTGGTGAGCACATCCATGTGCCAAGGACTGTCAGATGCTGACACTGCAGCAGCAGTGGACAAATAAATGTCTCTGCACTCAGGAGGCTGACAGAAGAGTGGGAAGATGGATGTTAAATAAAACAATGAAATCAAGTGTGAATAATGATATGAGAACAGTATATATAGGGTGTTCTATATAGAACAGTATATGGATTAGCATAGTTTATGGGTTAGTATATAGAACAGCATATGTTTAGCATAAGATCTTAATCTAGCCTGTAAACCAGAGTTAGGATGATGTATAATTTGTCATCTAAACTGAATACTTTTAGAGAGAAGGGGATGCCCATAATAAATACAGAGACAACCAGAATCTCTCAGGAAATCCACAATGTCATCATGCTTGATATTTAGCTTCCTCCACTCACAGAAAAAGTTCATTTAACTTTTTATGTCTTATTGTAATATATTCTATTCTTTGTATGTTCTTGAATCTCAACTACACATATATAAATAAAACATTTTAAAATTCAAACTTCCAAATAGTTTGTAAACTATAACAAATTACTGCATCCTCTCTAAAGATGATGATTATACAAGATAAGTAAATATTTGGTGTAGGTGATTAAAATAGAGGAAAAGGAGAGATGTTCTTCTTTTCTATCATATTTTCATCCTAACATTTTGAAACAATTTATAAGATTTTACCACACAGCTAATGTACTTCAGTGTATGCATATACTTTTAAGGAACTCATAAAACAATGCGTTAATGGGACAATCATGTTCCAGTCTACTTTCTATTTGAGACCTGGTCTCCAAAATTAACCTCTTCTAACACCCCTTTCCATGTTCTGTGCCTTTGTTTTTAAGTTTGCTTCATTTGGACTGGCTTCCATATTTCCACTTTGCCTAGGAAAAAAAATGTTCAGTCCTTTTTAATTGAAGACAATTAAAAAGGTTCAATTGAAAACTGAAGTCAACCTGGAACCCTATTGGCTTACAGGTTGCAGGTGTATAGACATTTAAATCAGCATATTTATATATATACACTGCATTATGTTTGCCACCAGAACTCTAGTTTTCATTCATCATCATACCACTGACCCCTTTTGTCCTACTTAACCATTCTTTTGTTCTTATAGCCTGTTTGTTTTTGTTTTGTTTAGCTTATTCGTTTGTTTTGTTCTTTATCTACCATAAATAAGTGATAACAGTATGTATCTTTCTTTTTCTGACATTTTTCACTTAGCATTCTACCAGGGATCCTTCAAACCATCTGGGACACACTTATCTGTAAGAAAGATAATTGAATAATTCAAAGTAATACTAATATTCATTGTTGACATGTTAGCACTTAATGTTATTGTGGTGCTGCATTGTAAGTAATAGTTAGCTTTTAGAAATGTTACTAAAATTTAGATGAAATAATTTATGTTTGAAATTTGCTCAGATATAGTATACAGAAAGCAGACAGTGGGTGGCAAAGTGGTATAGAACATCATGAACTATTAACTGTTGAACTTGTTTTATGGGGTTTATGATACTAACTTATTTTTAATGTTTGTAATATGCCAAATAAAAAGATTTTTAAAACATTCTAAAGTTCTTTCCAGCTCTCAATCTTAATGATATGTTCAATAAACAGTGTGTTCAGTTAGCAATCAGTCACATATTTACTTGTGTAACTCCTGTCATTGTACTATTGTTTGTCAGTATTCTTTATGCGAATGCCCTATTTTTTTCCCAGCATAATGACCTTTAGGCAAAACTATTTCTTTGGTATATTTGAATTACTCTTATTATAGCTAGATAACTAGTAAATATCCAAATATTCAAGTTATTAATGAGAGATCCAAAAAACCGGATTCAAATATGATTTGAAGTGAGTTAAAGACATAAAATGAGACTTATTCTGACAAGTAACCTAAAACATTGAGACATTAATTTTGACATTTATTATTTATAAAGTATTACAATATTATTATTTTTGGGTTTTTTTTTGCATAGAGAACTGGGGTGTAGGCCAGAGGTGCTGGGGGAGAGAGGATTCACCAGAGACAGAGTGGGGAGCAGAACAGGCCGATTGACTGAAATACACTGCTCAGGGGAGCAGCAGGTGAAACAGGAGAGGTCTGCTGCGCCATATGTGGGTTAGCTCCCTGGCTGGGGATTGAACTCATGCCATAGCAGTAATAGCTCTGAGACTAACCCCTATGCCACCAGGAAGGCCCAAGTATTACAATGTTAAATGAAAACTGCCCTGGAAATGCAGAGCATTTTAGAAATAAATTATAAAATTGTTCCCTAAGTTGTGTGGGAAAAAAATCCATAGGACTACCAGTAAATTTGTTTCTCTCAAAGAGGCATAATTTAAATCAATTTATTGCTGATATTTATGTACAAACTTTACACACAAAATATTTAGCCTGCCAGCATCTGCCACTGCCACGGACACATTCAGATCAGAAGGCCCAGTTCCTTCCCATGAATTTTAATAGAATGTACTCGCAGCTGAGGATTGGCCAGCATTTCCAAGCGGTGATGAATGGGAAGACAGATGGCCCTTGGAGTAACAGAAGGCCAAGTCTTCAAAGGGGCGAGAAGCCTGCCTTCCCGACAACATCAGCATACTCACTCTCGATCTATAACCAGGCAGGCGACGTCATTTTCTTCAGCAATAATGTTAGCTGATCTGACATCTTCACTGTAGACAAAAGCAGGAAAGTCAATTTTATACAGTTAGAAATTAAACATCCATTTGTATTAGAGAATCTGCTACTGTTTTTGAAACACCATTTACTTAAACCTTCCTTAGACTGTTGTGTTGTTTTTTTTTTTTTTAACATCACAATTTATTCTCCACTCTTTCTGAAAAAAAGGATTTGAAAATGTCCCAGTAAAATCCCCACAGGAATTTAGAAGAGATAACTGCACTGAGAACAAAGAAGAATCTGTGATTGCAACTTTGTATGAAACCTCATTCTGTGCTTTGCGTCAGCCAAAATAAAACAGCTCGCTTCTGACCAAACAGAAATTGCTAACTAATAAGCAGGCAAGACTGAAATTAACTGACTGAAAGAAGTTTATTGGTCAAACATCCAAGTAATTAGCATATAATAAAACAATCAACAATCAAACCCAGGAGTTTTTAGAGCCGTATCATCAATGAATGAAAAAAGTACTTTTTCATTCACTAAAATACTTTCATAGATTTTAAGATATATATTTCCCATTAAAATTTCTGGTATCAGAGCATGTTTTACAACAGATGATGAGTCAGGGTAAATAACACATTGTCTTTTTTCCTCTAGGGTGCATAATGTAGCAAAGGACCTTACAATTGCTATCTTAAATATAATGAATCCTGACATAAGATCAAATGATGGTAAATTTCCCTACCTACCGAATACTAATCAGTCAAGCATCAGGTGAAACAAAATCTTTAGAGACCTTTGTTTGTATTGGTTTCCTCATTCTGTTAGTTAAGTTAAAGTCCCTGAAAAGAGCTATGCCTGTATCACACCCAGATTCATGTACTGAGATGCACGTAAAATAACCTAGAATAGCAAGAATACTGAGACTGTTCTAAGCAACTTCATCAAAAATGGTATCAGAAAGCTAGTTCCTTCATCTTCCCTCAGTGATGGGACAGGAAAAGCTTCTGCAACCCATGTCTACCATTCCAAAGAAGTCCCCGATCCATGTAGCTGGTATTGTGTGACTTAACCCACAGTCCCTTAAAAATTTACAATATCATTATCCATTATAGAAAATCAATGAAAATATTGCAGATTGAAGAGCTTTTGAGCTGGAAGCTGGGTAGTTTTTACTCAATTTGTATGTGTGCAGCTATCTGTAGACATTTAGATATGTTTATACACATACACCAACCTATCTATATATACACATATGTCTTGTGTATATCACTCTTTGAATAGTGATTTTATATTTTTAAAGATCTATTTTTACTTATTTATGCATGCAAAAACTGGTATGCAGGACAGAGGTGCGGGGAGATGGTGGGGGAGGGGGAATAGGAGGTAAAAGGATTCACCAGAGACAGAGTGGGGAGCAGAGCAGGCAGATTTACTGAAATACACAGTGAAGGGGAGCAGCGGGCAAGACAGTAGAGGTCTGCTGCTCCATGCGGGTCAGCTCCCAAGCTGGGGATTGGCAGTGGCTGGCCATAGCTTGATGGCCCTGAGACTTTAACCCCTGCGTCAAGGAGGCTCTGAATAGTGATTTTAAAACAGGAAAGAGGTATGGAATCCCTTTCATTTGGCATGAGTTTCACAGGAATATTTTCTGCAAACATTTTTAAAATATTACACGTTTATAAATATACCTATGCTTCTTTCATAGTAACTGTGTAAATGCCATGGATTTATTTTTGCATATAAAATCATGAACTCTTTGGACTATTTTAATGTCAAGTGATAGAAATATATAGGATATAACGAATATTAAGTCATAGAGGTTTTAAAAGGTGATAGCATAAAAATGCACAAAAATGTAAAAATATTTGTATCCAATACTCTCTTCCATTTATTTTAGCTTTATGCTTACAAATATTTGGAGAGTTGGGTGTCTATATTAAAAATACCATGTTTTACATAGGGTAACACTGAAATTGGCTAACTGAAACATACAGCAAAAATTATTTCAGATCCAGTGAAACCAAACAGCATATTTCCTTTCAAGAGCTGTTTGACTTTATACCATTCTCTGCACTTTCAAATTCCAGTTGTTTTGCTTGTTATTATTTAAAAAAAATGTATAAACATTAAGAACAAATATATTGAATTCTGAATAATGATGTCACATGATAACAATACATCAATGTATTCTATTCTGTACAAATAAACAAACAAAAAAGAACAACTTCCCTGTTATTGAACAAATTCATTACCAGCCGGAAAATGGGAAGAAAACATCAACTTGTTTTTAAATTTCATTTTTAAATTGCTTGTATAATAGCCATAAATTAACTTATCGTGCTTAAATGGTTAAGACTTTCTTTTAAAAAAGAGATTTATGATTCTAAAGCAAATTTGTCTTCAGATAATTTGTATACATTTTTTCCTTGCTCTTTACTTATGTAATCCTGATATATAAATCAAAAGAGACTTCCTAGATGAAAGTTAAGAGGACAATAAATGAGCAGAAATATGATTCATTTTTATAAGTTTGAAATAAACTATTTATTATAGTATTTAGTAATAACATCCAAAGTGATTTCTTAACTAATTTCAAGTAATGGTTTAAAAAATACATAACTTAAAAAAAAATTGCGTTCCTCAAAACTTTAACTTGATCTTTTATAAAGTTATTTATATTGAAGAAAATGTACTTCCTCAATACAACCTCAAAACAACTTGAGGTTGTTTTCTGAGTTCCAAGAAGTACAAAGTGTCTCCTGAGCCACTTTATTAACCTTTATAAATATTTCCTCCATAAGTTAGATCAACAGTACATAACCTCATACCTCAAAAGACCTAAGGTTCAGATAGAAATTTCAAACACGCTATTTTGGGTTTCTTCTAAAACATACAGAATAAGTTGATAATAAAATCTTAGAAATATACTACTTTTGGCAGGATGATTTAAAAGCACATAAAATAGGTAATGTCATTATTTGATAATTTTAAAAAAGGGTAAAATGGTTCAATCCTTAAAAATTAAAAAACTCGTTCTTAAGAAAGATTATAATTTTTACACTTTAATTTCCCTCCTTTTTAAACTAAATAGTCTAATGGAACAACAATTGTATTTTTAGCAGTAAACTTAGTTTCCTACACAAATGAATATTCAGAGTAAATTTTCACATAATAATGAAGTCAGTTAAAATTTTTGTTTAATTCCTGGATGCTGGTTATGATTAATTTGGTAGCTCAATTTGACAATTTTAAATGAACAGTTACACATTCAAAATAATCAAAGAATTATTTAAGAATGAGATATAAATTCATGGATTCACCTGATAAGAGCTTTTTCTCCAAAGTATTCTCCTTTCTGCAGTGTTTTTATCAGTTGAGGTTGATCATGGCCTTCTGTGCTCTGAGTGACTTTTACCTAAATGATATAAAACAAAAAAAAAAGAGGGAGAAGAAAGGAGATTCTGAACACATAATCACGCAACTAAACCCCTAAACACACACACACATACACACACATACTGTCTCCCTCTCTCTCTCTCTCTCTCTCTATATATATATATATGTATGTATGTATGTATGTATAGATAGATAGATATAAACACACACATATATATACCAAACTTGACTGAACAAGGAAAAAAACAAACTTTGCTGTAATTTTGCAGTAGTCATGACAAGCTAAAGTCATTTATGTGGATGGGCTAAGAAATCCTGTGATTTCATATGATCAAATGTTGCCTCTATAAGAGGAAAAGTCTTCATTCAAATGCCACTTCCCAAAGTTCAAAGTTTTATGTGAATGCAATTTCCTTCCTAGGGGTACTCAAAGCAAATAAACATTGTCCTGTTAGAATTTATATTATTCAAAAAACTAAATTGAGGTGACATTGGAATAAGAATAAGACTATCAAGAGTTCTGACTCCATTGTCTGACTGATTTACTGAATCTTCTAAAACTAGAAGAAAAATTTGGATATGGATGTGGGTCCACACTTTCATTGATATCTCAATGTATTCAATAGCCCAAAAAGGTTCAAGAATACCCAGGGCTAAGCCGAACAAGACCTTTAATATCCCATATTTGTGACTGGAATTATTCCAATTCGACATTGCAACAAGGGTTGCTTCATGCTGATTAGAAATTCTGATTAGCATTTATGAAAGTCACAATGAATTAATTTTTTAAAATAACAAATACAATTTGTGTATTAGTCACAATTCTTTCATAGAATGGGATTAAGGTTGGGAAGAAAGATTAAAAAGTAGATTTGGGTATCAACGAATTTCTGAGGTTTGAATCTATTTTGCTAATTTTTTCCTTCATGGAGGCCTAATTCAAAGTTCAGCCACAAATCATTTACAAAGGGCAGTGACTGACTTTCTGATAATAAGCTCTTCCATGGAAAAAAGACCATTTGTAAAAATCAACAGCCTATTACACAGGTACTCAGGATTTTACTCTTTTCTTCAGTGTTTCACAAATGCTTTCTTATCTCTGAGAAACCCTTAAGAGTGAACAAAGGTGCAACTGAAAGCATGTTACCCACTTAATATTTAAATAAAGAAAAAGACCTGTAATACATTTAGCATAATATTTTCATTCACATCTAGATCTACTTGCACTTTTGCATGAATTGTAGGATTGGACACTGTGAGTCACACTACTCTATAGCTTGATGGGTGACCACAGACATCCTCAATTGCCAAGTTCATTCTCCTCCAACAGCTACTTGCCATATTTGTTGAAAAGGAAAATGTTCCAGCCCTGCTCTTGAACCCTTAGACAAAATGAGAAAAGACCTTAGAAATAATCTAGTCACTTTGTGTGCAATGAAACCAGACACAGAGAAAGATAACTGATCTGCCTAAGAAGTTACTGTCTCAGCGGGAACCCACCCCAACTCTCCTGCACCCCCAAAACCAGTGCCCAGGCTCTCTTGGGTACAGGTTCCAGTACCTGCTCGATGCAGAGGATTTATGTTGCAATGTACTGCGGCACTTGTGGCGAACCTATTTGAAAAGACTGTTGGATTACTTTAAGAAAGCTTTAATTAATATTTACCTTTCCTTTTGCTAAAATGAAAAAGGTACTTCCTTCCTCGCCTTCTCTAATAATATAATCTCCTTTGTCATAGTATTCCTATTGGATGAGAGAAAAAGAAAAGGTTAGAGTCAGTGGAGATGAACAGGTAAGACATAAACAGAATATAACTCCCATGTCTTTGAAATGATCGTTCCACACCTGGTTCTTTTGTTTTTCATATATTGCAATATAATCTGTTTTTAATGTTGCAGTTATAAGCTGTGGGAAAGAAGTGAGATGTTTGTTTTATCACTTGCATTTATGTCTATCATTCACAGAAAAAAATGCATGTGGAATACTGAATTTCAGCCATGGAGACTGAGGACATGAAGAGAAGAGGGAGCAAGACAACAACACATGGGTGGGCTAAATAATCCTGGTGATCTGCAACTGAGTCAACAGTCTAGAAAAAGAATAAATAATTACCTAGTAAACTGGAAATATTATCTTCTATGGTTATTAGAAATATCAGTGTCAATTTCTAATTCCTGGAAGAGCAACTGCTGAGGAAATTCTGTGTAGACCGTAAGTAACTCTTCATATGGATTCTTTCCAACGATTTATCATCATGAAAGATCGATATTAGAATTTTTTACGTCTAAGTTTTGTTCTTTGATGTAAGTTGATCCTCATGAAATCTCAAACTGTCACTTACTTCTTGGTCTCCTCCCTCATGTGTGTGTACACACAAATGTGTGTGCTTGTGTGTGTGTGTCAGACACACACACAGAGCGAGAGAGAGAGCGAGAGAGAGAGAGAGAGAGAGAGAGAGAGATTTCAGAGAATTCTTGGGCAGGAAAAAGTAATTCATTCACCTGTCAGACCAAAAGAACAACTCAGTCTCTTAAAAAACAAAAGATGGATTGAACAGTCCACCCTTACTTTATTTTAATTTAGTATTATCTAAAAGTCTAAGAACCAAAATGGATCTCTCAATTACTAATACAAACAAAACATGGATTTGATTTATTTGTTAAAAGGCAAAATAACATAATAGTTCTCTCTTGCTTTTCTTTTAGACTTAAAAATGAATTCCAAACTAAACTACCTCTGTGTCTGTTGCATTTAGTGTCCTTTTTCAATTTTTTTGCCAAACTAACAAACACAACATTAGTTTTAAATCTTCTGGACCTCAGTTTCTGAGGTCATACCACGAAGATGATATTATCTACCACACCTAACACTGGTTGAGGACTAGGTGAGACAGTGTATCTAAAGCATCTGCTGGCATGTTTGGTACAACACCATGCACCTACCTGCTTACTGTTAGTCTCTATGATGAAGGTGGAAGCTAGTGGTAAAATGTTCCTCAGTATCGGCTATTCAGGTAAATAGTACTCCTCAGTCTTCCCATATGAGCTGTGGCTATATGATTAACTTCTAGCTAAAAGAATCTAAGCAGAAGTGATATTTGCCACTTGCAGGCCAGGCCCATGAGCATTTTCATGCATTATCTTCATCACTCTTCCCCATCTGTAATGGCATGGCCCCAAGAGACCTTGAAAGAGGGGTTGTGTTGAAAATGGCAGAGTTAGCTCAGGTTCCTGAGTGACTCTGTAACCAACAGGGGCCATCCTTGCTGGATAAGAGAAAAGCTTCTATTTTATTTGGAAGACCACGTTTTGAGCTTCCTTCATGTTTTCTTAATCCAACTCTTTACTCTTTGTCTTTTTAACTATATCAAAAACCTTCACTCTAAACAAGGTCAATTTTTGTTGAGTCACCAGACACTGTGGTCCCGGTGTTGTCATTGTGTAGCTAATGCTCAATTCTCTTTACGAAACTCTGGAATCCTGACAGACATCCCTACCTTAGTCTGCTTCTCAGTCTATGCTGTTCACATGGGAACAATCTCCCCTGTTCCCGTGACCCAACATGGAGCAAAGGAACGTGGAGGGTCTCTGAACTGTCAAGTGTTCTTCAGTTATTATAAAGTCCTTGGTGTGCATGGCTCTGTGGCTTTAATTCCTGTCAGTGAGATAAGTTAAAGGAGAAGCCCAAAAGGGAACACTGAGAAAGAGTTTTGTTGTTTCTTAAGGGGTAACCTTCCTCGTGGTACTCTCCCAGGGATGATTCTTTGTCACCCAAAACCATGGGAGGAAGATAAATAATACCTCCCAGTGTGTTGACAGTGCCTTCATAGATCAGAAAAGGCTGTGGAGGTAGGTCAGACCAAAAATATATAGTGGTAAGTACTGGCTACCATGCCATACTGGCCAGTGTTTGTCAAATGAGGAGTGCAGCCAGGCTAGCCAGGTGGTCACCAAGACCAAGAAGAGAAATGCAAACAGTGTGGTTATTGTCCTGTGGTTACACTGCAAAGGGGTCCCTTAGAGAAGCAAGGAGTCATAGACCCTATCCTGCGGAGCAATGGTTTTCAAGCATTTTTTACTCTGATCTACAGTAAAAAATTACATAATTTTACATACACAACCAAATACAAGCCAACTTGCACACATAAGACATTTACATAAAGAAGAACTTATTTTTCGAAACAATACTTACACTGACTATGGAAAAATAAAATAATGTTCCACTAAATGGATGCTTTCATGATGTTCTAGTGAATTGTGACCTAGAGTCTAAAAAACATGTTTTAAAAGAGGATGTCTAGAAACCCTGAAAGTAGTTGTTTAGTGTATAGAAAGAAGAAAAAAAATCAATCTCAGTGCAGATTGAGAAATAAAGGTTAAAAGAAAACTATAAAAACAACAACAGCTACAGATGGAAAGATTTTTTTCCCTGTAAGAAAATATTCATTCTGTGGAATTTAGCAAAATTCTGGTGCCTGTAAATAGAACATACAAAATCAGAAGAAAATAATTTCAATGTGATGGGGGATAAAGACAATGAAGCAAGCTTGATTTCCTTCCTCACAGCCTTTGTGTGTGGCTAGAAATCTTCATTAATTCAAGAAGTATTGATGATATGCAATCAGATAGATTATATGTGGGCACCCTCCAAGTGTAACAGAGGCATCTCCAAGGGAGGAGGCAAATGTTTCCCTCCCCCATTTATATGCCCCCACTAGAATAGCTACTGGGAACTAGGAGGATGCAACTGCGTGGCCAGAGAAGCTCTATAACATGGAAACTAGGTGGCTCAAGAGAGACACATAAAGAAGAAAGGTACTTGCTTCTTGGCTTTGAGCTTGCACCAGGAACTTGGGGCACTTGAAGGAGACACATGGAGGAGAGACACCTGGGGAGGTTGACATTGGCAGCCTTTGTCTTGATTTGTACTTCGATTTGCTCCTTTTGTCCCAACTTTGCCTAGCCCTATTTATCCCTTTCTTATGGTTCCCCAACAGAAGGTGCCTTAGATCTGTGGCAAGCTTTTGGGCCCCAGGGGCCCCACTTTGGACCAGCCCTATTTGGCTGGACATTTACTCTCAAGCAGACGGGTGACTTTGGATGTTTTATTCAGAGTATTATTTCTTCTTCTCTCTCTATGCACACTATACACTCCTATTAAAAGTTATTTTTACACTAACAGTATGGTTAGTTTTTGTGCCCATAGATGGCACATAGATGTGCCCATAGATGGCCCTTTAGGTTGGGGGCTAACCCTTTAGGCTAACACAAGCATCATATTGTGTACCCAAGTTGGCTGCTTAAAAGCCTGTACACAGTACAGTTACTTGGGTTGTTACCAGCTATGTTTTGTTTGCCCAAGTATGATAATTAGAAATTTTAAAGCAAAAAATGCCTGGATGGTGCAGACCCAAGCACAATTTAGTAGCTGATTGCTCATTGCCAGGGAACCAGAGACTAGAAAAATAAAAACCTAAAGAAATCATTCTTATTTGGGTGAGGCAACTATAGAGAATTCTATTACTGAAATACTGAGAGAACGCCTAGTAATGTAGTCCACAACTCCCTTATTTTGTGCATGAGGACACCCTAATGCCATCCTAAGTAACTGACAGCTGCTAGTGATAAAGGCATAAATACAAAGCCTAATCTTTGGACTTTGGACTTTGGAGTAGTGAACTTTCTATGACACCTTATGGGGCCACCTTTAAATGGTCTGTAAATTGAGGGAAAAATCACAATTATTTCAACTTTCTTATGGCTCTGGATATAATCATTAAAATGAGGAAAAGCCTCTGGCTTATGCAAGTGTTAGCAGCAGCTATAAGAAAGGAAGACTAGACTTTTAAAATATGATTAAAATGGAAAATTCCTGAATGAAGAGGCAGACTGTGGCAAACTCTAAATATATATATATATATATTCTCTTCCTGACTTTAAACTAGTACTTCTCAAACTTTAATGAGTGTAAGAATCACATAGTTAAAGTGGGTTAAATGTGGGTTTCTGGGCCCTACCGCAGTTCTGTTCAGTAAGTGTGCAGCAGTCCCTGGGAATCTTCATTTTAAGCTGCACCACAGGTGGTCTGAGTAGTCAGGGTCCATTCCATATTATCCCCCCCTACCTTGACCCAACCCACCACTAGGACAGCAGTCCCTGGGAATCTTCATTTTAAGCTGCACCACAGGTGGTCTGAGTAGTCAGGGTCCATTCCATATTATCCCCCCCTACCTTGACCCAACCCACCACTAGGACAGTGAAAGGAGGCATGTCAAGGGTCACAGGACAAAGGGTCACTAGGTCAAATATCGAAGTTCTATAACAGGGGACTCTGGATTAATCACACAAAGCCTATGCTTCCTGGGTTGAGCACAGCCTGGGAGCAAAAACTTCCATTCTTGTCTGTCCTACTGCACAACTGCCAGGTGCAGAAGTCACATTGTCATTTTCATTATCATAATAGTCATTCTGCATTAAGAATCTGTATATGCATTATGATGTTCATTAGTTAACTCTTAAAGCACTCCAATGACTAGCCAGTACTATTCCTACTCTCCAACAAGAGACTTAATGGCCATGTCTGTCCCTAGAAGGAAATGTTCTGGGTGATTTAAGCTAAAGCAGTACATCCAATTGAAGCATCGCACAATCAGGGCCATTTGATGTAGGAGTTCAATAGGCAAAGTCTTAACAAACACAGCAGATCAACTGCTTGGAGATGGGAGATTCTGATCCCTGTTTCTCACTGCTGCATGAAAATAAAAAACCTCCAAATCAACTCCTAAGCAACATGCCAGATCCAGCCTATTTTTCTCAAAGATTTTGAAGCCAGTTTTGGGGACAGCTGGTGCTGGGACTCAGCAGGCTCCTGTCATAACTCCGATGCTTTAGTGATTGGCTGTTGTCAGGACCCTGTTGATGGGCCATTAGTCCAAGCTATGCTGGTAAATTATGTGCTTTTCTTAGCACTAAATAGATCCATTACTCTCTTGTTAATCACTTTCGTATTTGAGAATTTTCACACATTACAGAGACACATTTGTTTGCCAGGTATGAATAAAGAGCCCTTTATAAACCGCGCTGCTGTCTGCAAATGCTGATATAATCAAGCCTTTCTAGGGTATTTTAAAAGATGAGACTTTCAAACACGAATTGTGTGTTAATTAATACGGATTTGAGCCCCCATCTATATATTTTGCAGTATTGCCCGTGGCTGCTATAAATATGTCTAATTTACCATTGATTTTTAATGACACTAAATTTTAATATTTGCTGTCAGTATGGAATTCCCCTCTGGTGAATCTACTCTATTAGTATTATATTAAAAACAGATTTCCTCAGTTAACAAAAAATATAGGGCCTCTTCAGCTTTAAAAATAACACTCAGGAATTAGGATGAATTATTAATTTGTAACATCTGTGATTGGGTTTTGTTACATTGTGAAAATCCCAAGAGGTATCAGGCAAGCAGTCCTCTTGAAAACGACTTCATATTTGAACCCTTTGGGGACACAAGACCAGGCACTGTGTCATCATGGTCAGTCCTTGATAAACTGCTGGATGGGTTCCATGAATTGTAAATGGAAACATTACTGGTGTCACTTACACTTAAGGATAAAATGGTCAGGGCTGCCTTCTCAACAGATATTAGTTAACACTGTATATTATGATTGACAGAGGCATGATTCTGTCAACAATCAGTATTCTTGTTTTTTTTCCTGTCTCCCATTGAGAACAGCTTTATAAAAGCTTAACATCTGCATAAGACTCCTTTACTATTTCTTACCTCCTTTAAATTCTGTAAATGTCATTTTGGTTTCAATGAAATTGACCCTTAAAAAGTTAGAGAGAGGTTGCTTGCCTTGAATTTTAATCTCTGAAATCTGAAGAGATTTTTCATATAATGCAGATCATTAGAATCCAAGGTATAAGTCATAAAAGCATTATTCACAAAAAGACTTGACTAGTGTTGGACTAGAACCAACCATCTGGGTGATGCCTAATATGAATTTTTGAACACATTCCAATATGCTGCTTTCTCCTAGATGTTAAAATAGGTAAAGTGCTTCTTAAGTGCAATATTTTAAACGTCTTTTCACAGCCTAGAGTTTTAACGTAGAAAGTGCTACACAGTCTGATTCAGAAGCCTGTCATCAAAAGCCCCAATATCCTCTTTCTCTACTTCACTTCCTAATTATGAATACCAGGCTCCTTTATACTGTGAACCCTGTAAGGGATTGTAATGTTAATTGCAGAAAATCAAATGCCTCTTCAGTAAGGCAATTTAATTTTATAAAATATACTACAAGATTAAAATATGTAAATCAAATGTTAATTTTCACATGCAAATCCAATTTGCTTTTATACGTTTCAGAAGAGTTGCCTAAACTCAGGTAAGTTCCTTAATTGTATGTGGGTTGGCCTAAGGTTTTTCACAATAGGAAAAGGTTCCTGGTCTCTATGGACTGGTAATCTTCCATCTTTTCCTTTTTATTTATTTACCATGCTAATAACGCTATAAGAGTGGGGGGCCTAAGGAAAAGGGGAGGTTTCAGGTTTCCTGCCCCACCCAAGGAAGGGTTGAACTAAGCAGGTAAGAAAAGAAGCTGCAGAGGAGAATGGGGAAGGAAGTGAGAAAGATGAGTGGAGTAGAGAGACATGTGAGGAAACTGCTCTTGCTTCTTGATCTTGGACTGGTTGACACAGATGTGGGTGAGATCCGTGGGGAGGTAACAATGGCAGCATTGATCTTGATTTTGACTTTGCTCTTTTCCTTCCAGACTTGCCTGGCTGTTTCTGACCCTTTTCTATGGATCCCCACCAGTAGGTGCTTTAGACTTGTGGCAGGCTTTTGGGCCTCAGAGGCCCTGCTTTGGGCCAACTTGTTTGGCTGGGCATTTACCCATGAGGGGATGGGTAATGTTTGATTTGGAAACTATATTCTTCCCGTTTTCTGTACTGCACACTAATTACATTAAAGTTCCTTTCCATTGAAGGTCTTGCACACAAGAGTACATTTTGTCTTGATGTGGTGGATGGCAGAAACTATTTAGAGCAGACAGATTTGGGGGTGCCCCCTCCCTATCCTGTAACAATGCTAGATTATTCAATCTTTTAAGGAAATGTAATTTTTTCTTTAAAATTTCTTACCACTTCCAAGCAGTCAATGATCTTGGTTAACTTATCTTCAGGTAAATTCTTCAGCAAGGATACACTTTAAAATTAAAAAGAAGCCTTTAATTATCTCCTAAATTAAACTATAAACAGCTCTACCCAATGCAAAATCTTAACATGCATTTAAAAAAAATACATTTAAAAAAAATACTTTTCTAAAGTAAATCTTTAACTATATCACAGATAAAAGAATGAATCTCAAATACTTTGAAATTATATAGTCACAGACTTTATCATAGACAAATTTAAAAAATAGTAAGACACCAAAAGAGAAAAAAATCCCATTTTGTCTATTTGGGGAAAGATATTCTACATTTGTTGTTGGTTTTCAAAGTGAATCACTTCCGGAAATGTGTTCTCTTCGCATCTCAAAATCTCTTATTAGCATGGATGAGGAGTTCTGCTTCCAGAGAAAGATCAGATGTCCATCTAAATCCTTGTAATTAAATAAAGACTGAATCCAGGGGGATGTAGGAATTAGCATGAAATGATCTTTGATTAACAGTCATACTGCAATGTCTTTTAAAATTGATGGCAGCCAGAGGCAAATGATAGGAACATTTTAACAGAAAATAATCAATGAGACTGACATAGAATGTTGAAACTGAAAGGTTAATGCAGGAGGCCAGAATGCAAAAGCCCACCAGGAAGCCCACCTGGGGCCAGGAATGCGGAAGCCAGCCTAGAAAACAGACAATAAGCCTCTCCCCGCCCTACAAAACTTTTTCCCTCTGCCTTGCAAACTCAGTTTCCCACCTGACCTCTCCACACCCTATAAAAGCCTGCCTCCCCCTGGCAATGTGGGAGACTTCACCTACACCCACCTTGGTTCCGTGAATCCCGCCTGGGGACGCAATTAATTTCCCACCCTTTGAGAAATTTAGCCTGGTTCTCCTTTTCTTTACCACGCTGAACCTTTCAGAAACCTAACTCAGAAATTCCAATCAGTATACTTAACCCATCAATATAATTAAATTGTTCATTTAAAGAAATTTCTTTTACTTTATTCATTTTTATTTAAGACTTGATATAATTTCTATAAGATAAACGCATTTTTTCTTGCTATCTAAAATTTGATACCCCTGTGGAAAAATGATGCTACTCCAAAAATACACAACTGGATCTAATTTTTGAAAAGAGAGCACCAGACTGCCCTTTGAACATGTGCACTCCAAGGCACCTGGCCAGATGTGTTTAAGAATGTTTGTATCAGAAGTGTTTGTAATTGCAAAACACTGGCACATACCCTAATGAGAGAACAGATAAATGTACTGTAGTAGAGTCAGATAACAAAACTCTACAAACAGGAGAGATGATTGAACTAATCAACTGAATAAATCTTAGAATAAGATTGAGTAAAAAAAAAAAAAGCAAACTAACACCATTTTTAGAAAGTTTAAAAATGGTCTACATCATGCTATAAGCAATACACTAAACTTCAGATGGTAGGCTCTCCCCAAGGAGAGGATGTGGGAGGTTGAGAAATGATAGAGGGAGCATATGGGGACTTCAACAACATTGCCACCATCCTACTTCTCACGTGGGGCAGTAACTTGATGGTGCTCATTACACTGTTATTATAACTTACAGTTATACTGTATATCTTTTATATATATCACATATGTAACAATAAAAAGATGTAAATGGAAAAAAGCTTATTGCATATTATAAAACAAAGAAATATATTTATCTCATCTATTCCTCTATTGATGAAAAGGTAAATGGATAACCAAAACTCACTGATTAGCTCATGCCCATATGAAAGTTCTACTGGATCTATAATGTTAGTGAAAATTGAAAATTTTGTCCTGTAAATTTATTACCTTACTCTTTAGAGATAGAAAGGAAATTGATATGAGGAAAAGTCTTTAGTCTCTCTCCCCTGTAGGAAGGCAGAGATTAGGTTTATCTTAGTCACTACTGAATCTGCAATGTTTAGGGCCTGGGAATAAGCATTTGTTGAATGAATACAAGAATGAGAACAAAAAAAAGGAAAGAAAGGAATATATACTAGCACATTCTCTGAAACCCATACAATATGTCACATCAGTTTGTTTCTCTGTAAATGGATGTGTTCAGGTTGTCAGGATACGGAAGAGTTCATAAAGTGAGTATGTTCCAAGGATATGTGTCATCCTGACAGGTATAGTCACATTTTTGGCAAGTTAGTTGGCTACAAATAATAGCAATTTGGAAGATGATGTGGCATGTAAATGGGAAAAAGAATGTCTCAGGTAAAGCAAGTAAGAAAATAACACACACTCATATTAACATTGTTCTCAGCAAAGCATTTCTACAAAATTCATCTTTTGTTATCCATGTCCAAGTTACAAGATGCCTTTCAAAGTCAACTGAACAACCCAGGTGACCATCTTAGGATCTTTTGCACATTTTTCAGTACTATGTACAATGACTCCACAAAGACAAGGGCAAAGTTACTGCACAAGATTAATAGGAATTAAATGCATTTTTTACAAATAGTGGCATTTACTACATGGGAATTCTTTTGTGCCTTTGTTTTAATTATGTGGGAAATGCTTAAAATGAAAGAAGTTACAATTAAGTCATTATTCTGGTAAAACCAACAAATCCAAAATATGGCTACACCATCATCTGCTCTTTCCCTCAGTGTGTTATTCTTACCTTCTTAGGAAGTTTCTGTACTGTTCATCTCTAGCTTGAGCTGTCCTTCTCATGATATTCTGGAATACCTCTCGATCTAGTGCCCAAGTCTTAACGTTGGTAATAGCTTTGGAAAAATCAAGAAAACAATAAAGTATTGTTTAATCCCACAATAAGAAAATATTCTAAAATGTTAATCAGTAAATTTGTTATATGGTCTCATAAAATATTTCTTGGAAAATCATTATTTAAACCAGCAAATGGAAGGAAGTGTGATATAAATAGTGGCTAATTTTCTAAAATCATTTTTGGCTTTGAAATGAACAATGATATGGAAGTAAGTAGTAAGAGATTTCCTTTCTAATTATATTTTGCTTAGGATGATATTAAAATTAGTTTGCAATACCCAATTATGTACTATATCATCAGGATGCATTTCAGATTTGTACTGTGAAACAAGAAAATGCCAGCCAGACTGTAGCAAATCTAGAGAATGAAGAATCTAGAGGTAGTTAAAAGCTAAAGATGTGTGTGTGTGTGTGTGTGTGTGTGTGTGTGTGTGTCTGATGGCTTTTTATGTGGTTTAGACATTGCTGCTAATGAGAACCAATGTATTTTAAGATCTCTATGGTTACTTTGGGATAAAATGTACACAAATCATTTTGAAAGAGGTTACATAAGATGGTTTTTGAGACTTTTTAAAATAAGACAGAGATTGAAAGCAAGAATAAAATCTGAAAAGTAAGAGGTGCAGGAGTAACATTATTAAAAAAAATCTATTTGAAATTATGGTTCAGAGTTTTTCAAAAGAAATAATGAGAGTCTAAAGAATAGATCAAAAATGCAAAACTTTGGCTTACTAAATTTTGAAATCAATAGGAATCATCTTGGGATTCTTATTAAAAATACAGACCTCTAAAACCAAGATCAAAGCAGCAGGTCTGTAGTGATTCAGATTTGTAGTCAAGCCTGGTTTTCTATGTTTTTATGAAATACTACAAAAATCTTGAGACACTTAACCCAGACCCAGAAAACCAAAAAACACTATATCTAAAAAATTCATAAGAAAACCCAAGAATACCTTAAATGAAAGCAATTAAAAACAAGAACCATGAGGGGAAATAATTAAATTAATCCCAAAACTCATACATGAAAACTCCCATGAATTTGATTTATACATTTCTGTTTCTGTTAGCTCAATTCTTTTTATTTTTTTTCTGGTTTATAATATGGTCAGAAAGCTCATGAAGAAGAGAAGGCAAACATGAGAGGAGCCAAAAGCAGATGTCTAGATACTAAAAAAAGTAAAGTGGTAATTAAATCAAATATTGGAATCACTCAGCTTAAAGTCATTTTCATATTTTATATACAAGTATCTGATAGAAGGGTTGCTTTAAGGTTGAATTACTGAGCAAGTGCTTCAATATAAATCCTTTTATGGTCCTCCCTATGGCTCAGGCTGTTGAGCGCAGCATTGTGAAGCTGTTCGCAGCCTCTGCAGAGCCGGTTCAATCCCCGCCGGCCTCGGAGATATGCACATGGCACAGCAGATCTCACCTGTCTTGCCCGCTGCTCCCCTCTGCAGTGTATTTCAGTCAGTCTGCCTGTTCTGTTCCCCACTCTGTCTCTGGTGAATCATTTCACCCTCCCGCACATCTGGACTGTACCCCTCTTCTTGTATAAATAAGTAAATCTTTAAAAATAAATAAATAAATTCTTTTATAAGCACAGCAATTTTATTAATCAGAACATGAGAGATGAAAGACTCTGAATAAGGAGGTATCAGTGATTTAAGTAGATTATCTTTAATATTGTGCAACTATCCAAAATCAGCATATCATCCCATTACCTTTCACAGAGGCGGTCCTTGTACAGTTGTATAAAATGGCTAGTTCCCCAAATGTGGTCCACATAGGAATGGCTGACAGCAATTTCTCCCCTTGAAACACCTCCAGTCGGCCCTCTAGAGGTAGAATTTAAGAAAACAATCAAAATAAGCCTAGATTCCATAAATTAAAAAAAAAAAAATGCAATCAGAAAGTATACAAATAATACAGGTAAGATGCCTTAATGATGTTCATTATAAAAGTATCTTAAGTGTGAAAAATGAAATCAGCTCTACCACTTACTCACAATTAATTCGTTCACATTGAGACACAAGTCCTTGACATAAACAAACAAAACCCTAAGCATGAGACTCTTCTATAAAAATGAGGAAAGTAATGATACATAGTTCATACAGTTGTTGCAGAATATTAAATAAGCTAATATAAGTATGAAAATTAGAACTACGGCTAGCACATAGTAAGTGCTTCCTGTCAGCTATTGCTAATGTTGTGATCATGGTTACAAAATTTTTTCCTTGAAGCAGTGGATGACAAGTGTTTTACTTAAACTTCATTCTAGTCTATGGGGACTATACCTGGGGGAGATGGGGGGTGGGGAAGCAAATATTGTTTAAAAATGAACAATGATGTAAAAAACAAATATTTTTTTTTAAATTTAGTAAATTGTCTATTAACTGTTATTTACCTAAGACCAACCCATGATCCCATAAAAAAAAAAAAAAATTCATTCTAGTCCATGAAAAACGTAGCACGTGAAACTATTTCTCTTGTATAGACTAACTGGTCTAACCGAGAAGTGCAGAGGCCCTCAAGTCAGACTTTCCAGCTCTGACTGGCCACTGGTTGTGTGACCTTGTTGTCTGATCCCTCATTCATTAAAATAAGCTAACATGAAGGATCAAAACAGGGGTGAAAAGAGCACAAGGGACTATGGTGATGGTGTACAAGTGAATCGGTGGTGGGAATTTCATGGAGGCTACATCTGAGAAGTCATGCAGTGTACAAAAATGAAGAATGATGTAAAATATATATACAATAAATAAATAAACAAACAAACAAACTGTGTTAACAAATGAAACTACTAAAAAGAGCCCAGGATAAAGACAGTATCAAGAGAATTAGAAGACAGAAAATTGAGAAAATATTTCTGCAAAAAACATATCTGATAAAGGATCATTTTACCAAAAAAGAACCCCAAAACTCAATAAGAAAAACACAGTCTTATTAAAAAAAAAAGAAAAGTGGTTGATACTAATCTTTAGGCAAAGATTGGAGATCAAGGCAGAAATACGGCCCACCCCCTCTCAATTCTTCAGTCCTGGCAATTCTCTTCTTTTCCTTCAAACCCACACAAAAAAAACTTTAACTAAAAAAAAAAAAAAAAGAACAACAACAACAAAAAAATCATATTCCAAAAAGACCTACTACTTAGAGGGAGAAAAATGATGGGGTTACTTCTCTTATCTCTGAAAAATTAATCAGTCTTTCTTTCTAAGTCACCACTAAGCAGCTCTGGCCATCTCTGTCCATTCATTCATTCATTTATTCAACAGATCTGAGTACCTACATTGTACTAGTAATTGTTTTTTTTTGCTGGAGAAACAGAGTGTACAAAGCAGAAAAGACATTTATTCTGACAGATTTTATATTCTAGTAAAAAATAAACTGATTTGGTTCCAAATCCTACAGATAAGTAACGCAATACAATAATTTCTCATTACAACTAAATTGTATTTCATTAAAACCTCTTAGTAATACCACTGAGTTGCTATCGTGGATCTTAATGCATTTCAAGTATTTTTTTCCATTGTTATGGCTCGTGGGTCCTGAGCAAAACTGAAGAATTAGATGGACCATCAAAAACTTAAGCTAAAAGTGTTTTACTATTTGCTATTGATGCTGTATTTTATAAAAGAGGTGTTTTTAAGAAGTTTGCTCAGTCAATAACATGAGGCAATTCAGTCTTTACATAAATCATATTCAAAAAGAAAGTGTCCAATTTCATCCCACATATGTAATAGCCTTGATTTCAGTGGCAGTATTGATGCTGACTTCTGTTCAAACTCTTCTTTCCTCAAGCCTTTCATGAGAGTTACAGGCAAGGAACAAGGTGGGCTGACTTGACCCTTTCAGCCTTTCCTAACAGATTCTATAAATATTTGGAATGACTTATCTTCTTTTGTCAGAAGTCCTAGTATTTTGACAATTCTAATCTGGTAGTGTTAAAGTAGAAACGGCCAAGAGAAAAAGTTGAAAGAGGATAAAATTCCTCTGGATCACCCATCCCTAAAACTTGAGGGCTGGTTAAATTTAGACGTTAACTCCAATCTAAGATAGAATAATCACTTGGGGATAACTGTGCAATTTTAAAGGCACCTACATAGATGTATATGACAAATTGTATATGACCAATTAAAATGAAATTGGCATGTTTAAAGAATCAAAGTATATGGAAACAACCTTTCATACACAGATAGAATAGTACAAGTTTATTAACTTGTTCAGATAGGCAACTTCTGCCCCACTCTTAAGGTTGCAAGGAAAAGAGAATCATAAAAACATTGTGTAGATTGCCAGGAACTACAATGCAAAATAGAGATGATAGCACATCTGAGGGTTTCACTCCATCTGGACAAGTCAGTTTAACTTTTTTCCCTAAAACTCAAAAAGTTGAAGAAATTCGGAATTTGGCAGAGTGTTCAATAACCATAAGTCCTGTACAGCTCATTCTTGCTTCTATATGTAAAAGAATTTTCTGAGTATCACCGTAAGACATATGCATTTGAAAAATAAAGCCTCTGCCTATCTGGCTATTATATTCTCCACAGCATGTAAGCAGCTACTATATATGGCGGTAAGCATTTATGTGACTCTAATAGCACTAGTCTTAATCTTAAGTCATTTCATTGGATGTGTCTGGTGGTTAAATATACCTTGATTATCTTTTCAAATCATTGACACATAATCAAAATATCCCATAGAACTTGCAAAAAATATTTTTTTTTCTTTTTCCTGGTACAATTAACTAAAAATATCAACATAAGTGCAGAATTTTGACTGGGAACATCTTTTTTATGAGTGGTACTGTGACTAAAATAAAATACTCTCAAATCAGATTCTCTAAGTTTGCATTTTACCTCCAGAACTCTGTGTCACCTTGGGTAAGTTAACATAGCCTTTCTGTGACATTATCATCATTGTTAATTATTATTATTAAAATAAAGATAACAGCACTTGCTTAACAGTTGGTGAGAAAATGAAATAGGATCTAAGGGATCAACGTGCAGCCTGACTTATAGAAAGCATTCATTAAATATGAAGTATTATTATCATGATTAGATCAGCAATGCTACTATTTCATTAGTTCAAGCTTATACATTTTCTATGGAGAGAATAAACTTTTACACAATGCTTGCAAAAAATCATAAGATAACAGGCAAAATATTTGTTATATGATAACTGGAAAAATATATGAAACCGACCTGCCAGCACAAAGATATGGTTTCCTGGTTCTCCTTGCTTAATGATGTAACTCCCTTGCTGGTAGTTTCTACCATACATGCACTCCACCATGTCTTTGATCTGCTGAGGATCTAATCTCTTCAGAAACTGATTTTTATTCAGGGCATCTGTAATGAGCTTCTTCTCACTAGTGCAAAGGAAAAGAGATTTTATGTATAATCAGTGAAATCCATATTTTGTTATAATGATTCTTATTACTACCTATGTACTTCTTACAACTTTTCCAGCAAGGACATATTTTTTCTAGCCCCATTAACACCTGATCCTTTTTATATCACACTTTCACATGTAAAATATTTTGAATATTTTTCTGGTAATCATCACACCAATTTTATTATTACTCCTAATTGTCATCATCATAAATATAACATTTCCCAAGATCCTCTGATGCACCACTACTAACGATCGCGCGATTTTTTGATGGAAAGCATATCTGGTGGACAAGTAGAAGGTGTATTTAAGGGACTATAACACAGTATTCATTCATTGATGTATACATGTATGCACAGAATCATTGGGACCAGTTATTTTATATTTTATTTAATATCACTATCCTGTAAGATAATAAATCTTACTTAATGGATAGATAGGTTATCCTCATAGGAAATAAAACTACATCTGTCAGTCTACAGTCTATACCACTTTATTCCATCCATTGCCTCTTTTGAGCTGGAGAAGTCAGCTACCTTGGGGGCTCACTGGGTTTAATCATACATAAGGAGTGATGATGGTAGTCTGAATTTGCCTTGGTTTGAACTCTTCATACGCCTAGATTACAGAGAAGCTACATTTCTAGTCTCATAGCCTATTCCTTGTGCAAAATCCAATGCTGACTTACTAATAATTTTATAATATTCTATTTTGGGAAACAAGTAGTTCAAAATAATTACTCAGTCTTTATTAACATAAATTTAAATATTTTAATTAAATACTTTATATGCAGATATCATAGGATTATTAAGCTGGAAGAAAAGTTCCCTTTTGGACTAAGTCAGAATTTTTGTATATTTGCAATATATTTGTTCTCATTCAAACTCAACATGATTTTTAATAGGATTATTCCATATTTCCTATTCAGATTCTCTCCCAGTACCAGACTTACTGCTTGAAAACCAGCGATCTTTTTCTATACAGAATATTCTCTCAAACATAAGGTAAAATTTCATAGAAATAGATACTTGCGTCGTGACCCTATCTGTGAACTCATTAGGCAACATGAAGTAAACAATGAAATCTTAAATGGAATCCTTCTTCTCAGAGACTGTTACCCTCAAAGTCAGTTAAACTTGTCAAGCACCGTACCTTGGGAACTTCCTTCCACCTTCACTTTATCTGTCATCAAATCTCATCAATTTTCTTTACAAAATATTACTGTAGTCCATTTAGTTTTCATTTTCAAGGATGTCACCATAGACTAAGAAAAACTGTAAGTTTGGACAGCTTTCAAGCTTCTTTTTGGTATACAGTTTTGGTATTTCAGATTAATCCTATTAAAACACTGACTTCATCATGATCTCATTCTTCCTTCATCCACTAAAACCAACCATTTATTCAACTAAAATATACTGAGAAAATGTTTGCTAGATGATATTCTCAATGCAATTGGTAGAACTGTGAACAATACCAAAAAAAACTCAGCTTCCATGGGTCTTTCATGCTAGTATAACACTCTAGTCAGTGTTTCCTTAATGTCCATGTACTCCAAATTATGTTCCACAAAGTCTGTTCCTTCATAAGCATTAGTGTATTAAGTTTGAACAATTTTGGAAATTCACAGTATACATGTTAAATATTCAAATAAATTTTGCAGCATACAAATACATTTAAACCAATGTTTCCCAAACCCCAATGTCTTCTTGTTTGTTTTTGTTGTTGTTGTTTTAACTTCTAATAACATTCCAAGGAAATACTGTCAAAAACCTTTTTGCCCAACATCTCACAATCTTCCCATCTCCCACCACATAATTTTCTCAATCCATTTAGCACTTATTCCTCAAAACAATCTTTTGTTACGTGTAGCTAGTATTCAGCTTTACCTTCAGGCATGGCACATGTTTTCTCAACTGACTTGACTTAGTTTCTTCTCTCCTCAACTTACTTAAAGTTTATGCACCTACCAAGGATTCCCTAAAAACCTAAAAAACTGTTTCCGGATATTGTGGATCACACAACCTTTTCACTCTACTTTAAACTTCTGGAGTAAATGTATTCTGTCTATTCAATTCAATAAGTTTTCAAACATTCAACAAATCACATCAAGCATTTATTTAGAATATAAAAATTAATTAAGCATGGACTGTGGCCTCAAAAAGTTTCCAGATTTTTTTAACTTAGTTTACTATTGTAGTATTCTATTGGGAAAAAAGCTCTTTCTATGAGTTTTTCTCTAAACTAGGTTATAAATTCTTGGAGGAGTGGGTCTTGTGTTGAATTTTTGTTTAAGATGTAGCTTATGGGAGTGATGAAGAGTATGGACCCAAAGTAGACCAAGATATTACAGATATCAGACACAGACTTTAATATAATGGTAATTATTGGGTTGTCAGAAAACCCATTTTAGAATGGGTTTTAGAATTAAAATTTAGAATTTTAGATTTTAGATTTAAGAATTTAGAATTAAAGATTTTAGAATTAAAGATTTTAGAATTAAAGCATACAATATCTAGTACGTGGACTTAATAGATGGTCTTTAAATAGGATAAAGTATGGTTGAAAAAGACTAGAAACTGAATTTGGATGTAGAATATATCTAAATAGAAGATTGGAAATAATGGAAAATAGAGCAACAATAACAAAAACAAAGCAAAACATAGCGACATGTAAGACATGATAGAGAAGTTGAATAGACAGGTAATTTGGACACTTAAAGAAAGGAAAAGAATCAATTTGAAGTATATGAAGGCATCATATTCAAGAATTTTCTTAAGTTAATGGAATTCATCAATCCACAGACAAGGTATGTTACCATCCCCACATAAAATATACAGGTCCATCATAAATAAATTGATGAAATCTAAGTGCAAAGAGAAAAATCTTTAAGGTAGTTGCAGAAAAATTGACCTTCAACAGTGGGACTGACTGACTCTTCAAGAGAAATGAAGAAAGCCAGAAGACAGTAGAATATCTACAAATACTTCAAGTGCCTATTTCAAAGTGCCTATTTCAATATCCTTTCCCAATGAAAAATAGTACTCAAAATGAAAAGCAAAATGAAAACATTTTCAAAATGTTATTCCATTGGTAACAAAAGGAAAGTGATCCCAGATGAAAGTTAGCAAATGTTAGAAGGAAGATCAATAGAAAAAGTAAATTTGTGGATGACAAAAGGAAGTTTATCTTTATAAAACATTAATAATAAGAACTTGTTTAGTTTAAAATATAAATAAAATGTATGAGAGCAAGAGCCAAAATTCCAAGCATGATGGTCAATAAAGGAATTAACATAATTTAAATTCAGCAATTGATAAAAGTACTAATCTCTACCCAAAATTTAATAAAATAAGGATGATATTAGATTAGCCAAAGAATATTTAACTAGAGAGTTAACAGAAGAGAAAACTGAATAATAATCTATATTTAATCAATCAAATAAAATGTCAAGAAAATAAACAAAAAGAGACCAAAAAAGAGAAAAACTAAGAAACAAATACTAATATGCTAGTTAAATCCAAATATTTAGTATTTACATTTGTATAATATTAAAGATATATGTACTAATGCCCTAATTAAAAGATATGATTGTCAGACTGATTTTTAAAAAGAAAATAACATTATGTGATTCTTATAAGAGGCATTCCTTAAAGACAATGATACAAAATTTTGAAAGTGAAAAGGTGGAAAATGATATACTATTATGTAAATTTTAATTATAATGATACAAACTTTAAAAGACAAGCACATTTCTGGAAATAAGGATGGGTATTTCATATTAATCAGGAAGCTAATAAGACAGTACCAAATTGATAGAATATTTTACAAATCAAAGGAAACAAACAAATCTTCATGTATTTTGGGGGATTTGAATACATCCCTCTAGATGATAAAAAAGAATAAGCAGACAAAATTTAGTTTGAAAATAAAAGAGCTAAATAATTGATTATTAAATTTTACTTAATCTCTTGACATAATTGATATTTTAAAAAGACTATTCAACAAATTCATAGTACATAATCTTTTCAAGCGCACATTGTATCTTTAGGAAAACTGACCATTTAGTGGACCATAAAGCAAATATCAATAAATTTCACATGAATAAATAATGCAGAGTTTATTCTTTGAAAACAGTAGAAATCAATAACAAGCAATAAACAGAAAATTCTCAAATGTTTGAGGATTGAATAATACATTTACAAACATACCCTTAATCAGAGGTTAAATATCAAGGGAAGTCAAAATATTTTTAAACAAATAATAAAACAATGATTTAACAAAACTTGATGGTTTCAGTTAAATAAATACTAAATGGGCAATGTGTGGTATCAAATAGTTATGACAGGAACAAAAAAAAGTTAAGTGTCCCTATCAAAGAGCCAGGAAAGAGAATTGAGCTTGAAAATGGGAAAAAGAAAGAAATGGAGGAATATAATAAAACAAACCAAAAAAAGTATAATGAAGAAAATCAACATAGTCCAAAATAGGTTATGTGAAAAGACTACAGAACGAATAAATTACTAGCAAGAAGCAGAAGGAGGGATGGAGGGAGTGAGAGAGACTATTAAAATAATCTAAAGTCAAAATATAGGCAAAAAGTTATTTATAATATAAGTTCTCCCACTATCTGAAAGCAAGACATTCCTATGAACCCTTTCATAAGCCAAAACAGCGTGATGTGAGGAAATAAGTAACCATCAATTTATATGGAAATTTTTTTGAGTGACACTAGTCCCAAACAAATAAAACAACAGTAACATATAGTAGAGCAGGACTGCTGTGAGTAATACAGAGTATACAGTGGTCACCAAGAAGGAACATGGCAATGCCACTTTTGCCACTTTTGGGGTGCCTCTAAAATGGCTGCTACAAAAGAAACACTGAAGAACATTTTCATTTGTCACCTTTTGGTGGAAACACAGAAATCACCTTCGAATTTCTTTTGGTTAGTGAAACAGGTACTAATCTAGTTCTTTTGTAAAAGCAAAGTGGAGTAACCAGAATTTTTGAAAACCAGGGAATACCTGTAATACTAGTATAAATATGGCTACTTCTGAGGGAGAGATTAGAAGGGAGCAGGCAGAGCCTTTGAGGTGTTGGTAATGTTCTATTTCCTGATCTGTCTGTGACATGGATGAAATCACCTTATGATTTGTGCACATTGATGAAAAATTTATTTTGAAAAATAAAATGTGTACATGTGTTTGGACTCAGAAATCCTAGGTTCAAATCTCACCTCTGCCACTTTCTAGCTGTGTGACCTTGGACATATCACTGAACCTTTCTGAATCTCAGAGCATAGTTACCATATACACTTCCTAGGACTATATGCACATTAACTAAGATAAGGCACCATAAAAATGGTAGTTATAGTAGTTGGCAACTGTAGTAGTTCCAGCATGTTTTTATAAGGAAGAACAGGTTGGAAAAATTTCTGGAAGCCAGGGAACTACAAAGAGGCCAACCCCCTCTGCCGAGTTCAAAGTTCCTTCCATAGGGCTGGGGCTTGAACTCATGCCCATCAATGGCAACATCAGTAATCTTCTAGCAATCCTTTTACATCCCCCAACTTACATAATCAACATTCCTTTAGGCAATAAATTCCTGTCCTCTAAATTACTTCAGGAAGTTTAACTTGTCCAAGTCCACTGAGCCCTCAATATTGATTCTACGTAGTGGAGGGCTGTGTCCTCACTGTTTGTTTTCATCAGGTCAGAGCACGTCTCTTGCAACCTTCTTTGCATAAGGCTCAGTGCAAAGCAGGAGCCAGCAGCCTCCCCCTTCTCTCTTATCTACAGGGACATCTTGTAGGTATCATTTCATAGCTTCATTATCTATACAAACAGAAGCATACTGTAAAGTGTATTTGTTAAGGGCACCAACTCCTGAACCTGGAATGCCAGGATTTGATTTCTACTTCTGCCAGTTACTAACTGGAGCCCTGGGCAAGTCCTTTAATCTTGGAGTTTCCTCAACTGCTAAATGACAATAAACACAGTCTATAGGTCATAGTGTTTCTCTGAGAATTAAATAAGGTAACAATATAAAGCATGGAGATGAAAGCTTGGCACATCAAATATATTATATAGGAGATGGTTTTACTACAACAAGCTAGCAAGTTAGAAGACACTTAAACACCTTTGCACTAAAACAGCTCTAAAAACCCTATACTTAACACCTGCTTTTATATATTTATTTAAGGAGGCCCTTCACAGGGTTGGTAAAGCTGAGAATGCCTTATCTGTCCAGTGTCCCTATGCTCAGGGTAGCCCTTACCCGCTGAGCTACTCACAGGCCCCCAAACATGCCAGTCCACCTGCCATACATTCCTTCTTCATAATCCAGCTCAAGGTCATTTCTCTATGGAGATTTCCTTGATCCCACCCTCTTTCCTTTGTACCCTTGTCTCTTCAAATATTAACCACACACAAGAGTGCAATACATTTTAATTTCCCAAACGAGACTGTGACCTTCAAAGATGTGATTATGCTTTCTTCATCCTCTTATTACCTCCAATCTAGAATAGAACCTGGCACATAACAGGAACTCAACAAAATTAAAAGAATGTTAAAGGACATTCAAATTCTTTCTCCTGGGACTAAACACAACAGTAGTCTATGGTAGAAAATATCAGTCACCTAAGAAACAGGGATAGACAATGAACAGGACGAGGATCTCTTTATTTTGCCCTCCCAAAATCTTTTGAGTGGCAGAGCAACCAGAAAAAAAAAAAAATACCAAGTTAAGGCACAAGTGCATAATTTGAGAAACTAGCATGAGGAAGATGAGGTCAGTCCATGTAATCAGAAAACGGGCATGACTCTCTGCTGTCAGCTCTCAGAACCTATTGCCCGTGTAATTTAGTATGGTTGTAATTGAATCATGTTTACTGTTATTTCATGCTCATGCTCACAACAAACATTTCCCTTTCCCTTTCTTAAATGTGTGCAGATGATCCTATTCCCATGAGCATCAAAGAACTGAGTTCAACAATGAAGTGTTGGAAACAACCAGCATTTAAAATGAAGTTCATCTGACACACTCCATGATATGCAGAATCGTCTTTGTGCTGCATGGTAAATTAGCTAGAAATCGTAAGAAGTCCCTTAAAAGTCTGCAGTGGGCATTGCTCTCAGATCATCAGACTGAGGAGTTCTGGAGTCAGTGGCAGGGAAATTTATTCCTATAAACTTTTATAGATACTGATGCCCAGGATCCTCATCTCAATGTACTCAGAATCCTGAGGGCTGTACCTGGACATCAGTGCTTTGTAATACTTCTCAGGTGATTATAATATAGACATTGGGTTAAGAATTACAGTTTTAAATAAGACACTTGGGCCTCCCTGGTGGCGCCAGGGGTTAAGACACAACCTATGAAGCTATCCGCAGCCACTGTAGAACGAGTTTGATCCCTGCCCAAGGAGCTACCCACATGGAGCAGCAGACCTCTCCTGGCTCACCCGCTGCTCCCCTCAGCAGTGTATTTCAGTCAGTCTGCCTGTTCTGTTCCCCACTCGGTCTCCGGTGAATCCTCTCCCCCCTCTCACCTCTGGCCCATATCCCAGTTCTTGTATGCATGTAGGGGCAGCCTGTCAATTCCACCCCAGGACTCTGGCAGTTTTTATAAACTGTGTAAACTACACATAACTAAAGCTGTACCATTTTAATGATTTTTGACCGTCTAATTCAGGGACATGATACATATTCCCACTGTTAAACAGCTTTTGCAACCATCCATCTCCAGAATATTTTTCATCTTCCCAAACTAAAACTGTACCCATTACAAACTGCAAGCCCCATTCTCCCTATCTTCCAGCCCCTGGAAGCCTCTGGAGACCTCCATTCTACATTATGTCTCTGTGATTTTTAGCACTCTAAGCACTTCACATAAGTGGAATATTCAATATCTGTCCTTTTGTATCTGACATTTCATTTCATTTAGTACAATGTCTTCAAGGTTTATTCATGTTGTAGTATTAAAGTGAAAGGAATTCCCTTTTTTTAAGGGAGAGCAATATCTCATTTGTATGTATAAACTGTGTTTTGATTGTCTATTTATCCATCAATGGACATCTGACTTATTACCATCTTTTGGTTATTGTGAATAAGGATGCTGTGAGCATGCATGCAGAGGACTCTGAAATTTTTTTAAGATTTTATTTATTTATTTATTTATACAAGAACTGGGGTACAGACCAGATGTGCGGGAGGGTGAGAGAATTCACCAGAGTCAGAGCGGGGAACAGAACAGGCAGACTGACGAAATACACTGCTGAGGGGAGTAGCAGGCGCGACTGGAGAGGTCTACCGCACCATGTAGGGCCCTCACTGGCCGGCTGGGAGCTAACCGGCACTGTAGAGGCTGCAGACAGCTTCACAGCACTGTGCTCAACCGCCTGCACCACCAGGGGAGGCCCAGACTCTGAATTTTGCATGGCTCTACATATCCAGCAGGGTCAATAATCTTAGCCAGAGTCTCCCCAACAGAGGAACAGAGGGAGCAGCGTGGTGCATAGAATTCTAAGATGACCCCATGATCTCCACTTCCTGGTGTCAAAATCTTGTGTTCTCCCCCTTCTTTGAGTGGGAATGAATCTGTGACTTGCTCCTCTCCAACATGTTGCAATGGCAATGGAATGTCACACCATGTTTGTTACATAAGACTTCATCTTAGTCAACTATAAAGAGATTCTCTAACTGGCCTTGAAGAACTAAGCTTAACATGCTGTGAGGACATAAGACAGAGAACACTCAGTGGTGTCTAGGAGCCTCGAGCAACTCCAGCTGACAGCCAGCAAGAAAATGGAGACTTAGTTTCTACAGCCACAAGGAATTGATTCTGTCAATAATCATATGAGTTTGACAGAGATACTTCTAGAAAGTGCTAGAAAGAAAGAAAGCCAACTGATGCTTTAACTGCAGCCTTGTGCAATCCAGAGCCAATGACCTAAATAATCATGGTCAGCCTCAACCCATGGAAACACTCATGTCAATAATATGTGTGTTTGAAGCTGCTAAATTTGTGGTATCATGTTATGCAGGTAATAGAAAAAGCGTCTATGTTCAAGTTTCTCTTTTCAAGAAGTTTTAATTAGTAACTTACTCTGCTCCCATTTTTACCTCCATTTTTGTCATGTCTTCTGGAGAGAGGGGACTAGAAACTACAGATTTTTCTTTCTTTCTAATTTCCCAGAGCTGGATCTATAAATACCCAAAAGACTATCAAAACTGGTGCTTAAAATTTACCAGTTAAAAGTAATTTGGCATGACAAGCAAATGCTCTGAAAGGATGAAATGCAAATTGGAAGTTCCTAATCATTCACATTTTAGTATGAATTACATGAAGATATTCCTGACTATTGGTCTCAAATAACATCAAGATCACATTGAAAAATCGACGACTAACAAATATTTCTAAGGATTTCTAAGGGGAGTTAACAGGGAGGGGAGGAGGCTAACTATTTTTATTTAAAGAAAGTAATCATTTTTAGTCAAGGGATAAATACAAGAGATTTATCTTTTACATAAAAAGTTCTTCCTAAAAGAGTTTAAAAGTGAAAAAGATTTATCTTTGACTTTAGTTTTTCCTCAGTCTTAAAAATTTTACTGCACTTTAAACCCCAGAAAAAAATCAGGTTTCAGGAGCAGAATAGCCCAGGCTTCCAGGAAGAAAAGGGAAGATTCCTTAGAAACTGACCACACTGCTAATTGAGTGACAAAGGTCAGTGTCCATGCTTCGCTTGGATCAGACCAGCAAGGAGAAAAAGGTCATTGTCTTCTCAAGTATTATATTTCTACTACACTCTTTCCTGGGAATTTAGAGAGAAAATGGGCAGTAACCATTTCAGAAGCAATTTAAAAAAAATAAGTGAGGAAGGATAGAGGCTCCTGCCCAGGCCTCCAGTTCAGTGACAGAAAGTCAGAGCTGCTTGATTCACCAGCACTAACATATTTGAGGCCAAGCAGAACAAAAAACTGCTATGAATATCCTTTTATTTAGTAAAATATCAAGCAAAATAAAATGAATATAGGTATGAGAGTCGATGTGACTGAATGGTAGTTGTCACCTCACCTAGCTGACACCCAGATGAAGGGATACACCTTTCAGCACAAATGATGACAGTGGACTAGTTACTTATGATTTCTGAGCCTCATATAATTGGACTTATCCACTGGGGTTTGTTGTGAAAATAAATGAGATAACTCGATGTAGGTCAAAGCTCACTGTGGCTAGCCTATAATAGATATTTGAAATTGGTATTGTTGGCACGTGACTGATACTGAGAATGGGGGGAAATCAGGAGGGAAAAATAAAGGTATAAGTGGAAGAAATGGGGGTGGGGGGAGACAGAAAGAAACAGAAAATAAAAAGAAAGCAAAAGGAAAAGAAAATAACATTAAAGAACAAGCTTCACTGAGGAAATATTCAATATTTGTTGAACTGAGTGTCTTAATCTAAAGAAGGGAAATCTTGGACATCATAGCTATTATCCAAGCTATTGGGTCAAACACCTCTGTGGTTTTCAGGTAGTATAAAAATATCAGAGAGCATGATGAAATTTAGGATTATAGGCCTCAAGGTGAGGGGAGGCTGAGTAAGGTGGGTCCCTACAACAAACACTTAGACTTTTGACTATTTGAAACAATATGTCCTTGAATCATGAGTGTTTTCTGAAGCTTGATGAAGCAATTTTCTTAACACCTATCAACTGACAGCCTGCAAGATTTGAGCATAAAGTGAAAAGGAGCAAAGGGCAGCTATAAACTAAGCAAAAGATAATTTGAGAGTCTGAGAGTTAGGAGAGCCCAGAGCCTTGGGCTTCTAGAGAGAAAGATGAATACCAGAGACTGGAAGAGAGGTGTGGAACTCAGAAAGCCTGTCAAACCTCTGTAACTTCACCTAGATGGCCACTTATTCTAAGAAGGTTCTCTAACTTGATGCTTCTCACACCTCTCCCTTTCTCGGGAACTTTGATAGCCCACCTCAAGCCCCCAAACCACACAGCTTCAAGGGGAGTATTTGCATGGCACATGGCAGGCTAGGTCACCCTTGAGAGGTGAGCGAGAAAACACTTTCACAGTAGGCACTCAGGTTTGAACCTGGCTCCACAAACTATAACACATCATGTTCAGAAAGTAGTGCAAAGACTGAGCTTTCATTTTTATCTCCAATACAACGGAAAAGCAACAACCGCCTCGCTAGGCAAGTCTCCATCCTCACTTAAATAATGTACAGAAAACAACAGGTTGTTCTCATCTCACCCTGAGTAGTTAGCTGGGATCTAGATGTCTAAACATGCTATAACACATAGCCTTCTGTTCTCAACCATTCTGACAACTTTCACCAAACACATGGCCTGGCTGGCTTCACCCCACTTTTGACTATCAGTCACCACATAATTGAACTTTTCTCTTCGTCCCTTGTATAGGGAGCTTTATGCTTTGCTTTGCTGAAGACTCAGATTAAGACAATCCTATTTATAATCATAAATATGATTTTTTAAGAATTCAACTGATAAATGAGTCTGTCCATACATTCTTAAAATACTTTAATAATCTATGTAAAATATAGGTAGAGAGTCTCTCAACAACAACATTTAAATCATTATTGTGTGAAGAAAAAAAGGTTTCTCTTCCTCTCTGCCCCCAGAAAAATTTTCCTCTGCCTCAAAGTGGTAACAAGGCAGCACTTTTGGAAGCATAATTTTCAGGGAGAATAACAATAGCAAGTAGTTGTTTGCAATCATACCAAAAAAGCTATATGTAATTATTTATTTAATATTTTTCAAGGTTGCCCAAGTAAAATGTAAACAGTCTACCTCTAATTTTCACCTCAGAAAAATGGTATATAAGAGTTGTTAAACAGACTTAAATAGCAGATTATCTGGTTTTGAATCCTGGTTGCAATATTAAAAGCTCTGTAACCGTAGACAGCTATTTAATTCTGTGTGCCTCCATTTGCTCTTACGTAAAAGGAAGGTATAGTTTGTTGGAGGATTAAATAACCCAACAAATGTGACATGTTCTGGGTGGTGCCTAGCACATAATCAGTGCTCTATAGTATAGTTTATTATTATTATTATTGATATTCCATAGATACACGCCTGTTCAATAAAGGAACCCCATTTCTACAATGCACTTTTAAATGCTCAGCACTGCTTTAGAAAGGAAGCACAAAAAATAACATGCATACTCTTCCTCACTCCTTTACCACATTTTATTTAAATGGATGACTCACTAGCATGCTCCACTTTTACCTATTCTGCTCCCGGGTGGGAGTGACAAACAAAACTAATTGTGCTTCCTAAAATGAGCGTCAACATCTGAAGTCAGTTGACAAGTCTTTGTTTTATCTCTCTTTTTCACAGAAGAACAATAGTTTCAAATGATATTTTAAGTGTTCCGAGCAAAAGGGCTTCATACCAACAACCTGCCAGACAGCTCTGGTTAATTTGCCTGTGTCCCACCAGACATTCAGCATGAGGCCGTAATTTTGCTCTGCCAGAACTGAAGTTTGCTAAACAATGTCTACATAAACAGAAAATTCGATTTCAGTAAAAGATCTGACCTCTGGATGTCTGGTTGTCTTGGTGCTCAAGGAAAGTCAGACCTGGACAGAAATGCTATCTGAGCTCTTCCTCATCCTTTGCCACGGACACTCAGTTCTCAAACTTGCGAAGCATTATATTCATTTGGGAACCCATTCCTGCCCCTCCATGTACATCATAGCCTGTGCCATAAGATGAATCAGACACATTTTTTGTGTCCTTTTCACATAGGCCTGTGCTCTGAGGATTCAGCACTTGTTGACTATTGCTGCGATAGGTGAGCTCTGCTTAACTTTGCTTGGAAGAAGCCAGAAGATACCAGGAGGAATCACTGTTCTTGCTACCAGTCAGTAGGGCACACCATAATAAAGCAGACTGCTGCCCAAACTGGTCTGCTTGAGGACTTTCATCCTTACAGAGAGAACTAAGAACACCAGGATTGTAGAAGGAAAAAAACCTGGTCATGAGTCTTCCTCTACCCTTAACTCTGTTACTTCCCATGGCATGTTCTGCAACATCCTGTACCTGTAGCCTCACTTTTCCAGTAAGGGCTTAGTATGAGATAAACTTTATGGTTTTTCTAGCTCTAAAATCTTCTGCTGTTCACCATATTAAATTTAAATCCAAGATCAGAGTACCTGATATACTGTGGTACTCTGACTCATCATGATTTACGATCCTCCTGTAAGGCTGAGTACCTGTAATAGAAACGGGCTACATGCCCACATAGTTGCATGCTTGTAAAGATCTAAAATAGTCAGTGGGCATGAAGCCAAGTCACCACAAAAGGCTGTGATAAACTGTCGGTGCAGTGCACCTTAAGAGTGATTCCCACATTGTGGGGATCTGACAGGCACATTCTCACTTTCTGTGGCTTTGCCCTAAAAGCTAACACAGGTATTACTTTATAAAATTTTCTCAAACCTCACCAATCACAATTGGCAGGGATAGCAGCTGCAGTCAAAAACCTACAACCACAATATCTAATACAGAGTCCTTAGACACATATGTCTAGTTACATTTTGAATTAATTAAAAATTAAAATTAGGTTTATCAGCAGCTACATTTCTTTTTTTTTTAAAGATTTATTTTTTATTTATACAATAGCCGGGGTACAGGCCAGAGGCGCGGAATCAGCAACTACATTTCAAAAGCTCCACAGTCACAACTGGTTACTGGCTACCATACTGGGCAATACACATTATAGAGTATATCTTTCTATATTATAATAGACAATTCTATTGGACAACAATAAATTATACTAGAAACTGATCTTAAAAACAAACCCTTGAAGGCCTTCCCTGGTGGTGCAGACAGTTGAGCTCTGCACTTGTGAAGCTGTCTGCAGCCTCTGCAGCACAGGTTTGATCCCCGCCGGCCGGCCGGCAAGGGTCTCACATGGCATGGCAGACCTCTCCCTGCCTTGCCCGCTGCTCCCTCAGCAGTGTATTTCAGTCAGTCTGCCTGTTCTGTTCCCTACTCTGTCTCTGGTGCATCCTCTCATCCCCCCACATCTCTGGCCTGTACCCCAGCTCTTGTATGCATAAATAAATCAATCTTAAAAAAAAAAAAACTTGAATTTTGCAAGAGACAACTTTCAATAGCCCCTCAATACCACCAGAACATTTAAGTCTTTCCTTATAGAGTCTGTCCCCACCAGGGAACTTCCCCACCAACATTGGCTGGGAGTTGGGTTCCCAGTGCCAGAATTATAAGACTCAGAAGCAGCATCATGTGACAGTCATCAGAACAGAGGGGATAATCAGTGTAGATGAGCAGGCATGGAACCCAGACACCACACTTGTCTGGAGAAAATGGAACACTCTCTTATTCCATAGGAAGTTCCAAGTGCCTCGTGGTACCCATGATGTGTACTTGGAGGGGTTGAAGAGGCAATATATAATGATAAATAAATATATAATATATATATAAATATATGTATAATTTTTTATATCATCTCTCACTTTTGTACAGTAATTATTCCCCTTAGGTGTGGCCTTCCCACCAATATTCTACCCACAAACAAATTTAGTAAGAACAAATTTAGTCATGAATTCAGTCAGGAGACTTAATAGAAGTTCAACAAGTAAACCATGAGACCTAAGGATAAACAGAGTAGCTATTTTGACAGATACCTTGAATGCTCCAATTTCTAGCAGAAAAGTGTGAAAAAAGTAGCCAAACCAGTGGATACTGATTCAGTGATAACTCTCCCATCCTTGTTAATATTCTAATTTCTAGAAAATACTTTCTTACAAAATTTTTCATAGTTTCCATAAAAGATATATAAAAATAATCAAAGTTTTTATGGATTTTCTCGAAAACTAGAACTATTTGAAAACAGGAAATGAATGATATTACCGAGCACTGTCAAAAGACTGGAAAATTTTTAATCTCTGAATGATTACAGTAGCTATCTATGTTTAGCCATTTATTCCAGACCCAAATAGAGAGATTTTCAGCGGGAAACTGAGGCAGAAAACCAGTCAATGAAATAAGAGTGATTCCCATATTCTATTTAATTTTTCAATTTAATATAAGACTATGAAAACAGATGGTGATTATTAGGGCCTGAAAAGTCTAGTTTGGTCTCTTTAGGACTTAGTCAGTAAGGAATCAGCTTGCCCATTTCTTCATCATGACCTCAGTACAGATGTGCACCCATCAGGCTTTCCTTGATGATGAGGAAACTCACTACAAATTCTGGTTTAGTATTAATATCTTTTCTCTCTGGTGTGCCACTCACTACAGACAGACAAAAAAGAGGTAGTTGGGTCCCGAAATTGTGTATAATTTCTGATTTTCTTGCCTAGTTATAATACAGCTAATGTATATTTGTCTCAGATTGTTAAGTTACCTAACACTCAGAGAATAGTGGTTGCCTCAAGATGGACAAAATAACTGAACATAATCTAGGTTCAAGAGGAGAAATCTGGTAGAATTTGCAGGGAGAAAGTCAAAGAAAATGAGTTGTTATTAAATTCTCTTACACTTCTAGATATAAGCATGTTGCTATTTGAATTTTTTATATTTAAATTATGGTTAAGTATACACATATGAGTAGAATAATGCATAACACAGAATATTACTGTGTACCTATCTCTCTGATGTATTAAAAAAGAATACTGGATGGTGTTCTATTTTTTAAAAACAAGCATAAGTTTATAACACATTTTTTGAATTCACACTTAAAAAAATAATTATTCCTTTTGAAAAGGGTATAGATATAACCTTTCTAAACTGGCTGATAAAACTTTTGGCTTACAAAATCTTCAGAAGTTTAATGTTAACCAGATTTCTTTCATCACAAAGAATTATGATTAATAATCCAGACGGACTTGTTTCCTTAACAAATATTTATCAGTCATTTACTATGTACCAAGTACTGGCCACAAGTTGATGAATAAACTCCTTCGTAGTTCTATTGTCAAGCTAATCATTTAAGTCAGATGTTTTATCTTGACTTATATTACTTGTGTTGTGAAAAATTAAAATTTGCTTCAATTTCACAAATTATGCATTTTGCAAGAGATCGAAACTCAGCCAAGACATTCTTAAGGCAAAGGACCTAATTTCAACTAATGAATATTTACTCATTTAAAAATAATGCAGGTAGGGGGACCCTAACTTGTGATGGGTCCATTCAATCTTCCTGGTTAGGAAAGGTTAGCCAGAAAAAAATGTGAGTGTGCACATGCGTACAGACACACAGGTGTGCAGTGCATGCACAGGTACTGCAGTAAATACTTATATGTTATTTTAAAAGTCCTTATTTGTTAAGTTCATTATAGCTTTTAATTGTTCCTTCTGCCTGCAATGTCCTTTACAACTAACCTGCACTTCTTTTCCTCCTTAGGTTCTTAGGTAAAGGTCACCTCCTCAGTCAGGATGTCTCAACAATCCCAATTCTGTTGTCTCTTTGTCTTTCTTTCCTCTTAATCTCAGAGATCACCCACTATCTGTTGGCTTCCATTGTATCATTTATTGAAATTAATAATTACACAATGTTTACTTGTTTCCTGTATACTATCTTCTCTGTGTCTATTCACTGATATATCCTTAGCATCTAACACAATGGTTGGAAGAGGGCAGTGCTTGATTTAAACTGTAGAATGAATGAATGAATGAATAAATGAATGAGAAACCAGTTTACTCCTTTGTCATGACACTTGCAGACTAAATCCTGAGGAGTGACTTTCGCTATATACATATATAATTCACTGTGATTTGTGTATACTTTTAAGTCCAATCCTGTAGAAAGACAGAAGGTTAGACTTCCTAAAAATAGTTCTTCATTCTGCTAGCATTTTGGAGATGATGGAAATGATTTTCATAAACTCAGATGCTCAGTTACACATATCACACATCAAAAACCAGGCATAGTACAATCCTTGCTTAAAAGAAAAGTTTCTATTTAAAGGGAGACTTCTTTGCAAGACACAACCATTTTCAAAGCCCCTCTACCCCAAAACCTAAGAGATAATGGCTTAGTATCACCTATTGTATCATGTTCAGGCAACCTCAGTCAAAAGTGCATGGGGAGAATTTCTTACCTGGAGTCCTTTCTGACTCTTGCTTTCTCAAAGGAAAACTCTGGAGGTTTGTTGAGGTCATAGGTTCGGGTTGTTGGCTCAGCAGACACCCCAGCCTTCGCTCCCCTCCTGCTGTGGAGAGAGACCAGTCCCGAGGTCTTGCGGTGAACTTCCAGAGGCACCTTCTCTGGTGAGGCCTGCAGCGGGCTTCCTCCCTGCACATGCACAACATCCTGAAGCTTGTTCAGTTGGATGCACTTGTTCTGGAGTTCCTCCGTGAGCTCCGCGATGGCCACGGTCTGCTTCGACAGCTGTTCCCGGAGCTCCTTCAAAAGGTACTCCTGCTCCTGGATCTTGGCATCCTTCCTCCTCAGCTCTCTCTCCAGCTCTGTCACCTTGTTCCGCAGGGCTTCATTGGTGAAGTTCCCGGAGTGGCCATCAGGATGCTTGGAATGCTTGGGCTTCACTGAACCATTTCCCATTTTGCTCAACGATCTGAAAAAGGGCACAGAATTGAGAGTTACCTCATGGAGTTTCACTTCCCTAAAACCACGCCACTCCTCTCCCTCCCATCTGTTTCATAAATAGAAACACAGCAGTTATCATCATTGTTTGATAAGCAATAAATTACCTGTGCGCTGGAAGGAAAACCATTGATTGGTTCCATTTATGTCTACATGGGAAGGAGCTGGCACTTGGTTTCATACTTCCCTGTACCTTTGCTGGTACATGTATCACACCTAGTATTTTGCACAAACATCCTGCATTACCTGCTGTGCCCTTTGGCCATTCTCTCCGACAACTGTCAAAAGCATCACAAAACTCCGATGTGGATGTCAGTGTGGCAAAGATAAAAAAGCAAAGGAGCAGCTATAGCAGCAAAGACTTGGAAATGTCACACTCTCACAGCTCCCAATGCAACTGCACTAAGAAACCTCCTGATTTAGAAAATAACACATCTGCATTCCTCGGAGGAGGAAGCAAAGATGGTGCTGCTTTATTAGCACTTTTCTCCTGCTGCATATACCTATTAAGTTTTGTCTTCATGATCAATGCTCATGGCTAAAAAAAGAAAAACAACTTCTGGATTGTGGCCATAGGTAGAACAGAGGTATGATAATTCTTCTACATCCTTTATATCCTAAAGCTGAATATATCCAAAAATAATGGTTTACAGAGCAAGGCTCCATCCTTTTCCTGTCAGTACATCCTCAGTGTAGTCCCTAACGTAGTCACTAGTCCGCTGGGTCTTAGGATGCAACAGGCAGACTAGGGATTATTGCAGCATGATTTGAGTCCACTCAGAAACATTTTTTAAATTCAATAGTTATGGGGCCTCCCCAGTGGCGGAGCGGTTGAGCGTTGGGTTGCAAAGCTGCCCACAGCCTCTGCGGCGCCAGTTCAATCCCCGGCTGCTCCCCGGCCACCGGAGGAGGGTCCCACATGGCGCGGAGACCTCCCTTGCCGCCCGCTGCTCCCCTCAGCAGTGTACTTCGGTCCTTCTGCCTGCTCTGCTCCCCGCTCTGGCTCTGGTGAATTCTCTCACCCTCCCGCGCTTCTGACTGTACCCAGTGCATGTATGAACAAAAAAAAAAACAAACAAATAAAATAAATAAATAAAACATGCCTCTATAAATAAATAAATAAATAAATAAATAGATTCAATAGTCATGTGTTTATTTTATTAGAAATAAATAACTGGCACCCCAAAGTTTTGATTTCACGGATGCTATTGTTTAAGTGGAGATTAAGTTTTTAGGTTTACTGAGTCGATTCAATTTGAGTAGAAATAAATCATCTGCAATGATAAGCCCACAGGGTGCCTCCCCATTATGGCTTGAGTTCGATCCCCTACCAGGGAGCTAAATTGCATGGCACAGCAGACCTCTCCTGTCTCATCCGTCCTGCCTGTTCTACTCCCCACTCTGTCTGGTGAATCCTCTCATCAGCCCCCTCCACACACACACTGGTCTACACCCCAGTTCTTGTATGCATAAATAAATAAAAATAAATCTTAAAAAAATAACCTATATGAACAAAATCAACAGAACGCAAAAGGGTGACATCGGGAAAATGCTGCCATGATTAATGACCATAAAATTTAAGTCTTTTGATTACTTAAACTTCATGCTTTTGAGGGGCCTCCCTGGTGTCACAAGGGGTTAATTTTCAGCACTATGAAGATGTCAGCAGCCACAGCAGCATGAGTTCGATTCCTGGCCACGGAGCTGACAAACATGACATAGCAGACCTCTCCTGACTCACCAGCTGCTCCCCTCAGCAGTGTATTTCAGTTAATCCACTTGTTCTGCTCCCTACTCTGTCTCTGGTGAATCCTCTCATCCCCCACACCTCTGGCCTACACCCCAGCTCTTATATGCATAAATAAATAAATCTTTAAAAAAACAGATAAATAAACATGCTTTTGAATGTGTGATTTTTTGACAGGCACACCTAAGAAATATTATAACATTTGTAAACTAAGTTAAGATTATACCTCTTGTTACCTCATATCAAGAGAGGAAACTCAAAGTGATATAACCCACACAACCTTGTCCCTGTTCTCCTCTAAATTTCAAATTCATAGAGAAGTGACATGCTGAGACTGATTCTACCAGCTTTCCTGCAATAAGTATGACTCTGCAATGACAAAGGCACACATGTAAAAATGTAAAAGATTCTCTGAGTTTCAAATAGATTCAACCAAATCTCCAATGCAGGTCACCTAAGATGGATGGTACAAAGAGAAATAAATGTCCTTATACAAGTCATCTTGCAAAACCCAGATATTCCTCATAGAATTCAGGTTCAAAGAAGTCATTAATAAACATTAGCCTCCAGAGCACTGCCTTAATATGTTTCAGAGATGAAGCAGGTTTAACCTTTAAGTTTCTGTTGACATTTATGATTCTTATGTATTAAGAATATCCAAAAAGGCTGAGGAGACTAGTATTCAAGCAATTGGTCTGGATACCCTTTTTTTCCGAATAAAGCAGACTGGGAAGGACATTTCACATTAGACTGGGAATAAACTTGAATGAGGTTCTCAATGACAGGACAGAGAAGGCTTCCCTCAAAGGTACCTTAAATAAATGTGGGCACAAGTTTGTGACCTGCAGCAGTGAGATGTCTTCTATCAATAGATAGATACAGTTTTGTGGTTCATGGTCAAGGATTCAGCAGGATGGAGGGAGAGCAGTAGTGGGAGGAAAAGGAACTGCCTTATAAAGAACAGTAAGCACAAAAACTTTTAAATCTAACATTAAACTTATTCCTCAGTTTTTATTGAAAGAACAATTGTTTACAAAGATGTAACTGTCATGTATTATACAGGGACATAGCTCCATGAATTTGTAGTAAAATTTGACACGGAAAATAGTCTCACCATTCTAAATATGAGAAGGGTTTAGAATCATTTTTGCTCTCTGTATGGAATTCAAAGTACATTGTACCAATCCAATAATTTTATAAACCTGAAGCACAATTAGATAAAGGATGTTCAATTCTCCCAAAATACCAACTATTTTCTGGCTTTAATGAAGTCAGTTTGGAAGCTGTATAAATCTTTCAAGCTATTTAGAATTCCAAAGAGGGAAGAAATGAGAATGACTAATTCATCTTTCAAATCACAATTTATGCAGTAAGTTATTTGATGGCTCAATACTACATCTGATTTTGTAGTTCACCCATTTAAATTTTGCTCTCCCTCAAGCCAAGACCTCAAGTGTCTGGTTTCATAAAACCTAATTAGATTCATTCAGTTTCCTGTATCAGTCACTGAAATATTTAAGCCATTTCTCAAATACATATTACTAGCCACATGAATTGAACTACAGAATGTTTGCTCTATTGATCTAACAACTACAGGTTATTAGTATCATTCTTATAATCAGAGGGCAGAACGTGATGTCAAAAAATATGAGTGGGTGAATTGGTGGAGGAAATTCTATGGGGACTACACCTCAGCAAAGAAAGCAAACATTGAAAAAAAAAATGAACAATGATGTAAAATATATATAAATAAATTAATTATTTTTAGAAAAGATATGAGCATGGAGATAATAAAGAACAGGATTTAACAAGAGCAATGGCATCAAGACAGAAAGAATAATAAAACAATCTGTCCTTTTTCTGATAGGTAACCTTTTAAAAATTATTTAGCATGCATGCATGCATCCATCCATCCAACTACCTACCTATCAATCTGTCTGTCTAGAAAATAGATATAATTATATCCATCTCAGAATTATTACGGAAGTTGTACTTGCAAAGTCTTCCATGAGAAGTATGGCATGTAGTCAGCATTGAAAAAATAATAGCACAGTTTGAGACTAGAAATTTAAAGTCTTGGTATAAGAAAATGCCACACTGCTGGTGGGTGAGACAGAAGTTTAGTAAACTGCATCATCCAGACAAAAGATCTTTAAAGATGCAAATTATTCCCTGGAGGGAGTGCAGGGGCTCAAACTCTACCTGGATTATATTTTCCTTTGAGAAGTCATTCTAAGAACAACCAACCTGGGAAAATTTCCCTGGTAAGAGAAGCCTGATGGAAAGACAGAGACCAAAAAGCATCATGACTGACCCAGTCCAGCTTCCAGAACGGCGAGGACTCCTCAGGCTTTATACTTTCCTCATGGAATCCCTATTCATGCTCACATACTGCAGTGAAATCCTGATACCAAAGGGTTCATCAAATTATCTTTGGGGAAAAAATGCAGTATTCTCCAGGCAGGGACAGGAGAGAGGAATAGAATGAGTATGGCATTTAGAAAGAAGAGAGGAAACTTATATGTGATTATTACATTAATCACTATTTAGGAAATATATATAAGAAGTAACTAGAAAATACACAGGAAAAGCAAAATCAACTGTGAAGTTTCTGGCAGGCAGATTAACACCTGGCAGCCAATGCAGCAAAAATTAGGCTTTGTTGTATTTTTTTGACCAGTCCAAAAGGAGTTTGAAACCAAAATCTTGGCTCTGATCTAGATATCTATTTCTCTCTTAACCCACCTGGAGTCTGATATAAATACACACACACACACATATTTATATGTATAGTTTCATGTATATCTGTAAATATGGGAGATGATACACTGCTGGTTAAGTTTATACAGCCAGAGTTCCAATCCATGCACTTTCACTTAGTATTTAAAGCCCCTTGGGCATGATAATGAGCTTGAGTGTCTATAATGGAAAAGATAAGTACACAGAGACAGATGACAGACAGATAAAGTAATGTTACATATCACTTACTGTTGTTAATGGATTAAATGAGATAATCATAAGAATTTAGCACAGTGCATGACATATAACATATGTTCACTACATGTTCAATATAACTATTATTATGTTAATAATATTATGGCATATCCAATGAAATAACTCATCTTAGCAGAAAAAATGTGTACCAAACCAATACAATATTATAGGAACATAAAGAGTGCTCATACTACCAGGCTTCAATGCTTATTAGGAGCTACAATAATCAA